GGTTTTTATCCCTTTGGTGTATCATTGTCACTATTTTTGTTTATACAGTGTTTTCTCCCAAAATCAGGACACAAGGTGCTTTGAAAATTAAAATAAACCTAATGGAGTGCAAGATTAGTCCATAGAGGATGTCCTACAAAGTTTTCTGAGTGTTCTGTAATTGTTTTTGATTGATCCTATTTCTGTGCCTAAGAAAACCCTTTGAAGTTTATGGAGTTGCCAAACTTCAGAGGTGACTTCAAGGTGCAGACATGTTTTGTATATTACTTCAACTTGACTAGGAAAAGGCTTTTTTTTAAAAGAAACTGAAGGACGCGTGGTCATATGGTGTATGTGTGTGTGTAACAGAGAGAGAGATGCAAAGACATTGGACAATTACTCATATATTTATAACCTTGTGAACCCTGCCTCCAACACTGGCTTCCCCTTTCCCCTGTTACGTTGCTTTGTTCTTCATACCTTTGTATATACAAGTAGTTCTGGAACTCAAATGACACCTTTGAAACTAACAATATTATATTATGAGATGTATAGTGTGTAATCTTAGAGCTTAAAGTGTGTGTGTGTGTATGTATGTGAGTGATATATCTCTCATTGGCGAGAGAGTGTGTCATTAAATAATACAAGAAAGGATGCATTTTATACTTTAACCCCTCGAATAATTACACAACCTCATTCTTTGGTCTAGACAAGAGTCTAGGGCAGCAACTCTCTATTTGGAATGCTGTTGGTTCTATCAGGGGCGGCTCGTCCATTACGCGAAGTAAGCGGTCGCAGAACACTTTTTTTTTGCCAGGGGCACAGAGGTGCCTCTGTAAATGCCCCTCGACTGCCACTTGAGGAGTGCCCCCTCACCTCACAACAGCCCTAGCAGTCCGGGGGGAGCCTCGGCTTTCTTGCCTCGCTGCCAGGCGACCCTCTTCCCAAAGGGGCCGGGCCCTTGAGCCTCGCCTAGCCCCTCTCGTTCCTGCTCCACCCAGCCACCGGGTGCGCGAGCAGAGCCAACGCTCAATCATTCTCCGTGTTCGATCCCTTCCCCATGACCGGCTCCCTTTCCCGATTCTCCGGCGCTCCACTCGCCTCCTCTCCTCTCCCCAATCCGCGGGTGGGCCAAGGGGCGGAGCCGCCACGCCTGGCCCGCTTTGGGTCCGGAGGCGTGTTTGAAGACCCCAGCGTGCGCACCAAAAGTCGCCTCTTCTCCTGACTTTCTCTTCAGCCATTGGGACCAAGAGAGAGAGAGAGAGAGAGCGCCCCTCCGGCTGGAGGTATCTCCCACCTCCGCTCCCTCCTTTGTTTTTGCGCCTACCTTCAGGAAAGGTGGGCATCTCCACCTCCTCTCTCTCTCTCTCTTGGTCCCAATGGCTGAGGAGAAAGTCAGGAGAAGAGGTGACTTTTGGTGCACACGCCGGGGTCTTCAGGCATGCCTCCGGACCCAAAGCGGGCCAGGCAAGGGAGCAAGTGTGGCAAGTGTAGTTACTGGGATGTATAGTTCACCTACAATCAAAGAGCATTCTGAACTCCACCAATGATGGAATTGAACCAAATATGGCACACAGAACTCCCACGACGAACAGAAAATATATATCAATGATTGGTTGGGGGGGGGGGGGCGCCAAAATACTGTTTGCTTACCGTTGAAAATTACCTAGGGCCGCCTCTGGGTTCTATCCTAATATTGTTTCTGACTGGTTCCAGAAAATCCTGCTAGATTTGTGCAGTAAAAACAGGTTTCTTTCCTGTAACTGTGGTCATCTATGTCCTCAGAGACATGCAATTTTGTCCCTGCTTAGAGACTACCATTTGGAAAGTTCAAGTAGCTTAGCAGGAACACCCTTTCCTCTCCGACCTATCACACATGTTCCAATTGCCAAGCTACTGTACAGTACCTCAGTTTTGTAGTCTGCTAACCAACAAACTAACCAACAAAAAACAATCAGGGATCTGAAAGAGGTAGGGCACATTTGTGTGAGGGCATAGATGGCCACTTGGAGAACTATAGTTATAGATAAATAACCTGTTCTTCATTGTTGTCTCTGTGCTTCACACAAATGAAGCTTACCACAATGCGGGTCACTGGAGGATTGAAGAAAGGACAATACATTCAAAATTTGCGTCAGCTTTGGATCTGCAGTCCAATCTATAATGCTGAATGAATGTGAACAGATGAGACTATGTTGCAGTTTTGCAGAGGTCTGACAAAAAATGCCAAGTAGAAATGCAGCAAAGCAAGCACCACCTTTAAAGTCTCTGGAACAGGTTGATTCACCAGTTCTTAGGCTTATTTGGACAGGGAATTTTGAAAGTCTTTGAGAAAATACTTGGAATGTGGTTCTTTGAGTGGTCACCTGTGTACTCACACAAATAGATAAGCGCATAGATACAGGAAACCAAGTTTCCATACACAGCTTCAGACATAGTCTACAAGTTGGGCCATTTTTGCCCATGTTGTAGTAATACTGCTACATGTTAGTTTGGGTTGCATCTGGATCTCTCATGACTCAATACATCATAACCTCTTCTTCCCACCCTAACCACCTATATCTGAATCATTCAGAGGTATCACCAAGCATTGCTGCCCCCTCACATCATCTTTCCATCCTCAAGAACTATTGGAGTCTTTACCTACTCAAAATGTTGAATTCTTGTCATTATTGCTCGTTATTGTCATCCTGCAGTGTAGCCATGCAGCCCACAATGGCAACAAACACATACATGAATGAGTAGGTGAAAGGTAAAGGCAAAATGACAACTTATGTTGTCACTCACAAATAATTGTATTAGAAAACTCAGACCAGTGCTAGTCAAGATGGTTTTCCTGGTCTCATTATAAGAAGCAGCAATTGAACCAGAACAGATGCTGATGGTGATAATCTAGCAGAAGAAAGATTAAGCCTTTAATCTCAGGACAAAAATAGCTACACCATCAACGTGGCTAAATGGCCTGGTTAGAACAAGGAAGAAAACACTCAGCCACTTGCACTTAGTTAGACATTCACACCAGAACATCAAAGAACCACAAAAGCCAACCAAGGCAGCAATAAGCATAGAGAAATGTTTGTCTCTTTGACTAGCCAGACAAAATAGGCATTACTGCAGCCCAGAGTGTGAACTGGCAATGTTTACAGTAGCAGTACTTTGAACAGATCATGTATGCATTTTAAACTTTCTCTCCTGACAATTATTGCTAGAAAGGGGCTAAATAATCCACATTGACACAGCAAATGTCTTTGGAGAATACAAAGCCTTCATCCAACATGGCCCACTGTTGAGACTACATAAAGGATCTGTGTGCTTTCCTAGATTTTACTTTTGGTTTACCTAGGACTGCCAAGTCAGAACTATTCTGGGTCCTGAGATTTCAACCTTGTGTAATGTTATAGAAGCAGAACCTGATGATGTTAGTAAAGGTAATGTTACAATGAGCTGCCGATATAATTTAGTATGATATTTTGACCATCAACTGCAGATGTACAGCAATTGAGATAAAGAACCGCACATGCACATATATACCGTTTAAAGCAGTGTTCTCATCCTGGGATCTCTCCATCCTAAGAACTAGATATGCTAACAACTAAATGTACCCCCTTTTAAACAAAATAAAATCACAAAAATGTAGTTTTCTTTCTAGAAGATATCTGCAGAGATGTTGCCTATCTTTTTTTCCAGAGATGCACTAGTGCCATTGAGAATCATGAAATGACAAAGATCCTTTGGAGCACATGTTGTGCCCTGCTTACAAGTATACTTGAACATTACGGGGAAAGCAGTTTATGGAGCAGTTCCTAAAACCATGGTGTACACTCATGTTACTGCAATTCAAACATTCCAAAAGGTCAGAGACCATACCACATGCAGATCCCTGCATAATGCAGCAGCTGGTACACGTTGAAGGGTGAAATTCCAATTGGAGCATGCTATAAAATTTCTGAGTAAATATTTATACTCAGGAAGGTTAAGAGACTTGGAGTGCTATAAGCTCAAGTCATTTGGGTAGGCAAACTGCCGTTTAAGTCTGCATAGTGACCCACTCACGACCTCAATGCTGAGTCTGGAAATAGTTGTGATAGCAAAAGAAAATCAGAGTGAATCATGGGTCTCCATAGAATATTAAAGCAGCACATAAAACAAATGAGATGTTAATAATGCTCTACTACATACCACAGAATATCTCTCTGCATCTTTCTATCAAGTTGTCATACCCTACCTTCAGTTACCATGTACAACTGAGATGATAAAAAGAGCTTAAGGTAGAAAGGCAAGGTTCATGCCAGCGGGGACTCCGCTTTTTATTTCCCCTTCTGCAAAATAGGGAGGATTCAATTATCAATCTGATGGAAGGTACTATATGCCAAGTTACGTTCATATGCTCTACCTTTAGCATCAAGTGAGCTGCATGGTTGTAGGATCAAATGCACAGCATTTCCTAGCTCAGCATACTTTACTGAGTTGTCATGAAGATAATTCTCATGTCAGCTCTTCAAAACGAGGACAGTATTTATATAAAATAACTAATAACAGCCATAATGTGAATTGATAAGAGCAATCTGTAATGATTTGTTGACAGGAATTCCAGATGTGTTAGAAGAGTTACACATTATGAATATGGAGGAGGGGCTCATCTCACATAAATAGCAGGTTATGTGTATTCTTGGGACTTTTTCATATAATCTTTGGCTCCTGCCACATTTTTTTCCCATGTCAGTAGTGACTTGAAAAACTGCAAGTCGCTTTTGGTGTGAGAAAATTGGTTGTCTGCAAGGATGTTGCCAAGGGGACACTTGGATGTTTGATGTTTTACCATCCTTGTGGGAGTCTTCTCTCATGTCCCCGCATTGGGAGCTGGAGCTGACAGGAGTTCAACCTTCTCTCCCCAGATTCGAACCGCTTACCTGTCAGTCAGTAGGTTTATCCATTGCGCCACCGGAGGCTCCTTCCTGCCACATGAGCAAACGTAACACATGAACTACTACATTATCATATAAATGACAAAATATACTGTCTTTTTCTTTTCTTTTTTATTGAGAAAGGTCAAAACTCTGTACATAAAGAAATTGTGTACATGTAAGCATTTCTCACAAGTTCCATATCATTTCCTTTATCCAAGACACAATTATATCTTTAAATTGGATTAAGGAAATTGGATAAAAGAAAATTGGATAAGTAAATTACAGCCAGGTTACTTTGTGAGCCAAATGAAAATAACCACTTTAGATCCTGGTATGCAGAATCTCTAAGAGAGACGATTCCTCTCTTTGCAGGATAAACTTTTAATTGTCCCTTTTCTCTTTGCCAAATATATCAAGGAGCTGTATGTGTTTATTTCCTTCTGTCCACTACAGAAGGAAAAAAAATGAGGGATTCTATTTACACAACAACTTTATTTTAGTTTTGAAAGAGGCACAAACATACATTTTGGCAATGCCTTAATGACATGGACATTTAGAGCTATTTTTTCAGAGTTAAGAGAATGACCTGCCCCTTTTAAGTGCATCCAAGATTCATGAGTATATTTCCGGGCTAGGTGTCTCTGAAAACTTTGGAAGGATTAGATTTTGAAGTAATAATTTTATAGGATGCCACTGACATGTAACTCTACTTAAATGTATGACATCTCTTATAATCTTAAAACATCTAAATGTATGATACTTCCTCTAATCTTGCTATAATCTTGCTTCAGTGTCTAAATATATCTCCTGTAAACTTGTTAGAACCCAAAGGACATTTAATGAGCTGAACCTCTTCTCTACCACCCTGCTCCTGAAACAAGAATAAGCAATCTTGCAGGGCTGTGTGTAGATGTATTGTGGCCCTAATTTGTCCGGGGTTGTACATGATCTTCACATTACAACCCAAAGCTGCATTTTTAACATAACTGCTGTCAGGATCATAAATTTACTCAAATACAGTATTTCTTTATTTTTAAAAGAAGCTGGTTTTTATTGCTGCTGTTGAAATTTAACAGAATGCTAGCAAAAGCATGGAGGGCTGTAAAATGTAAGTCTCTGTGTGGGTCTGTTTTTATTTATTTTATTTTTAAGATTTTTGTTTCACTTTCTTTCCATAGTTGAGGTACAAAGTAGAATCACAGAATCATAGAGTTGGAAGAGACCTCATGGGCCATCCAGTCCAACCCCCTGCCAAGAAGCAGGAATATTGCATTCAAAGCACCCCTGACAGATGGCCATCCAGCCTCTGTTTAAAAGCTTCCAAAGAAGGAGCCTCCACCACATTCCGGGGCAGAGAGTTCCACTGCTGAACAGCTCTCACAGTCAGGAAGTTCTTCCTAATGTTCAGCACCAAGCAGCACCAAATGCACAAACTATTATACATACCGTCATTTAAATACAAACTAAATTGATCATGCTACTAAAATGCAAATTATGATATTGCAATAAGAAGCAGAAAGAGGATGAGGTGGAGGAGAAATGGAAGAAGTGGAAGGAGGGGAAGAAGTATAAAAAGTTCAGTTTGACTATTTAAAAACAACATAAACACACTCTATGTTTTATATCTAGCTATTATCCTTTTCCCAATCCAGCTCCAACATAATTTCCGACAACACAATTTTCAATCTAAAAAATCAGGATGTTATCTTTTGACAATTCCATTAGCCTCCAAGTTTGCTTTGGTAAAACTTAAGTTTTATTTATTTACTGGTATAACTGTTACTAATAAACTGTGTAAAGTTGTCTTTGCTCTTTCTTCTGGTATCTCAGGTATATAGGAGATATAAATCACCTCTACCTGAGAAGAAACACTAAAGGTAAGCCACATATGTTTACACATATATGCTATTCCCTTTAAAAAAAGGCTCAGTTAAAAATTCCACAAAAAATAACTTCTACAACATAGATAAACTATGCAAATAAAAATGTCTATAACAAATAGATACAGAGTACATACCAAGTTTTGCATTAGAAATTCTACTATAGTTGCTCATGGGAGGTCCAGAAGGTTCTGCTTTCAAAACTTAATCTCTGACCTCTAGAAATCTGACATAATGCCAGAACAGGAACTGCTCATGGACTTTAAGCACACTGGGCAACTCAATCTTCTGCATGTTTTTGCAGAAATCAAGTTTTGCCTTTGTTCATTGTGACTTGTTCATAGGATTTATTGCAAGGTTTAAGAGCTAGCTACCTGGTTCAAGAACAATTTTTAAAGATACCTCTTTTTCCACATTCAACTGCTATTTCATAAATGGCAAACTATTTACAAAGATTCTCTCTCCAAAGTGGTTTACTCAGTATCTTTTTCCTAGATTTTATCATTTTAGTGACGTCAGATGTTCTTAACTTTGGTTTTTATGTAATGTTTTGAAACTGTTTTAATCATCTAATACTGTTTTATTATCATCTGTTTTATATGTCACTCATATTTGGTTGAAAGATAAGTAAGTAAATAAATAAATACATACATAAATAAAATTGGATTGTTCAACATTTAAATGCATGACTGTGGATAAAGAAATTTTAACTAGCTACCTGGTTCAAGAATAAAATAAAATTGGATTGTTCAACATTTAAATGCATGACAGTGGATAAAGAAATTTGAAGTTGACATCAACTGGAAGGGTTAGTAAATATCCCAGAAGACAAAAGTGGGATTCAAAATAATTTTAACACAGGAATAGGATTTTTCAGATGTTGTCAGCATTCCTTGCCACTAACTTATGCTGGTTAGTCCAAGAAAATCTAAAATGCTGTACAATTCCCTACTTGCCTTAGCAGTTTGGGGAGAGGGATCAAAAATTAAAAGATTCTCAAGAGAGGAAAAATCAGATGCACACGTGTAGGGTTGTTGTCACCTGACTTGATAGTACTATCTATAAAAAAGACCACCCATATTAGGTTGTTACTAATGAAATGTATCCATAATTGTCTTTATCCCTCAAAATAATAATAACTTTATTCTTATATCCCGCCACTATCTCCCCAAAGGGACTCGGGGCAGCTTACATGGGGACCTAGCCCAGTCAGCAGAATTAAAATATAGCATAGTAAAAAACATTGCATTACAATAAATTAAAACAAAAAATGTACAAAATGTGATAAAAACATAAACCATCAACAACCAACAACCATCTTGGTGCATCTTGGTACCCCAGATGTGTTGGCTTGAACACAACTCACTTTCATCTGATCTTGAAAGTTAAGCGGGGTTGTCTTTGATTAGCACTTGGATCAGCAACTTCCAGCAAGTACAAGGGATATCTAGACAGAACTAGGAAAGATTTCTGCTCTGGAGAGCTGCTGCCAATTGTTGACAATACTAACTTACATAAACCAAAAATAACTTAAAATAAAATTCCAGATCAAAACTCAGCATTAAAGGGGGAAATCACAAGTCAACAAGGGTCAACAATGTTATGTGATAGCAAACAAAAATAATGCAATTCTAGGCAGTATCAATTAATGTATAGTGTCTAAAGTAAGAAAAGGCACTATCCTGTTCTGTTTGGTCAGTTCTTATCTGGACTGTCTCAAGTTCCAGTCATCGGAATTTAAAAAGGAAGGAAGGGAGCAATCCCCCTCTCCCAGAAGGTCCTTGAACACTCCTAAAACCTGCTTAAGATAGCTGGGAAACACTCCAAACTCAGGTTTTGGGCAACTCTCCGGGTTTCAGGAAAATGGGAAAGGAAATCTGATGCTGTGGGAAAAGAAACCCAAAGCTGAAGTACCAGGTCTATCTAATAACACATCCATCTGCAAATAAGCCTTTCACACATGCAGTATGCCACTGCTGTGTAGCACAGAATGCCTAGCAGTCTCCTGTTCTCAATTTTGTAAATTATATAACCAAAATTTGAATCACAGAAGTTCTGTTTTAGTTCTCCACCCAAATGCTTTGTTCCTTGAAATTTGATTATCCAGATGCTCTTCCTAAATCAAAGAGCAGACATCCTTGCTTATCCTATCTAGTAGCCTTTTGTTCATACATGCAATTGTTCTTGGAACTAAGATGTTGCTTAGCAAGTTTATTGCCTGCCAAGACTTCACCGAGGACTGTTTATTTTAACTGGCAGTTTACATTTTTATGACAACAAGATCCATTTCAGTTTGAGGAACTCATTAATAATGCTTTAATCCACAGGAGTCTTTATGTCTTATTTGGATTTGCTCAGCGCCAATGGGTTTCTTTTCTTGGGCTGCCCTCTCTGAACTTGCCGTGCGCGAGACCCAAATCCAAGGGTTTGCAGTGACTCTGTTATGTACTTCTGGCTGGGGGAGACACACAACATCAGCAGCAATTTTGCATCACCCCCTAAGAAAAATAAAGACATGCATTAGCATGGTTTTCTCAATAATATTCAAAATGCTGACAGGGCTAAGTTGCCCAGCATTCACTTCCTCTTACCAATGGGGCCCCAGAATGAGATTGGAACATGGTTAAAATGCAACTGATCAAATACTTTCTTAAAGAGTAGAAAGATAAAAGCCTAAAATTCAGTGGTGGGAGGTGAACACTGGAATGTTAGGAGTTCGTTGTTGCTTTTCTAACGCTACAAAAAGAGGAGTGGATGGCAGCTTAATAGAAAGGCAATGAAACAGTCAGAGCTGAGGAAAATCTCATTTTTCTACAGCAATCCCCCCAAATCTCCCATGAACTATAGCTGCTGAAAATCGGGCAGAACTTCAACAGATGAAACATTGCTTGGCATGCCAATGTGATGCAATGTGGACAAATCTTTGCCTGTTTAATTTCTACTTGTCTCCGAATGGCTGAAGTTACTCAAATCTTGCTAGCAAATTAAAAACAAACCAAGACAGAGTGTCTGATTTTGCACAGAATCAAGGGAATTCTGATTTAGCATACTGGTAGTAGAATCTTCTATGCTCTTGAATTCAAAGATTTATATTAGTTACACATTTCACAGGCAATGCTATAATATCCTATAGAGAGGAACGTCTTTTTAAAAATTGTGGGAAAATGGTTAAAAACAGGAATTCCAAACAATAATCACCTATCGAGTCCTGTAGCAAATGTGTAAGTTTGCTGTTTCGATATGGCACATGTGGACGCTGCTCTGATATAGCTCCAAGTACATCTGCTAGAGCAGACAGGCTCCGATTAATAAAGGAAGTCTCCCTCAGGACTGAGCTAGTTGCACCAGACATACCTAGCAGGAAAGAAGTCACACTATTACAAAGAAGCCAAATGTCTTCAGCACATCCAGAAGCCTGAATATACACTAGGGAGCCAGGCAGCATATCGGGTTGCAATGTAACCTTTTTGTCAATTTCAGGGACAAAAAAAGGTCTTGGTCTCCTGGCCTGATGTCATAAAACAGAAAGCATTTTTAAAATTCCTTTTGACATGAAAGACCACACTTTTTATAACTCTTATTTATTTATTTATTTCCTATATTTATACCCTGCCCGTCTCCCCTCGAAGGGGGTCTCAGGGCGGCCTAACAAAAGCATCATACGATGCTAGCATAAAAAAAAAACAACCACAGTGTAATCAAAACATTAAAAATTAAATCAACAATTAAAACAATTAATTAAGACACACATCCATTAAAATTGAAATTCAAAAACCGGTCAGGGTCAATTCATTGCCATAAGTTGTGTGATCTTCTTCCACTTGCTGCTCACTGATCAAACGCTTGGTCCCATAAACAGGTCTTGATTTTCCTTCTAAAAGACAAGAGGGAGGTGCCCAATCTGATATCTCTAGGGAGGGCATTCCATAGGTGGTGGTGGTGGGGGCACTGCTGAGAAGGCCCTGTCTCTCATCCCCATCAACCATGTTTGTGATAGCGTTGAGATCGAGGGCAGGGCCTCTCCTGAAGATCTTAAACTTCATGATGGTTAGTGGCAACAATGGATCCAAATGAAATATTCAAAATGGAAAAGCTGATCTAGTGAGTAGTTTATTCCAAGAAAACACAAACATGAGTGATAGGACAGAATAAGACCATGATAAGTTAGACAGTTCTCAAATAAATAAATGCATGCTTTAAAAATTAGTTGTCTTCAATGAAGTCTTTATAGCATGTATATTAAGTACTATAAATAGCATAACTGAACTCCCTCTCGGGAGTCTACATGCTTCATGCCTCTGGAAAAATATTAGTAGAGACAAATTGTAGTTATTTACAGTAATTTATTAATGTTGTTGAAAAATACCAACTACAGATATTGTCTTTCCTAAAAAGCAGGCCATTAAATGGTTATCTTCAATGAATAATAGAATTGCACTTTGGCTGAAAACTTATTTAAAACCCACAACAAAGAAAATACATATCTTTATTTTTTTAAAAAACAAAAAAAAACTATTAAAAGTAATCAGAGAAAATAACTTTGGGTAGCAATGTAAGAGACTCCTTCATAACATGGGTTTGGTTTTCAAAACATTATTTCTGGAAAGTTACGTTTGACTGAATGTTTTTTCTTGGTAAGGACATTTGTCCTTTAGGAAATAATCAGGTTTCTGAAAGGACTGTCTTTGAAAAGAAAGAAAGCACTTCAGAAGAAAGCAAGAAAGCAAGCCAAAGAAAACAAAATATTATTTATGTGATGGGATGCATAGCATCTGCTTGGTATTGTTTTCTGCAAGGAGGCTAAAAAAATCCATGCTGAATAATGAGTTTTGACAAATATTTTGGGAGCTGTAATCCAAAGAATGTTAAAAGTCATTATCATAGAAATTAAATTTTCAAGTTTGGGTTCTTTCACAGATTCTTTTTCTCTTTATACCTCAAAATGAGTTCAAGACAGGAGTTAGGTCGAATAGATACATTAAATAAAAACATAAAGAAAATCTATTCTGAAGTATTCAAAATGACACTATGTATCAACCTCAGGAATGCATCATGAGGCTTAGAGAAATATTGAAATTTGTAGAAACAACAAATATCCTAATAAGCAACTCCCTTCCCACAACATTCCTGCCACAACACCCAAGATCTGAACAGAGGCACTTCACATTGCAACACTTGATCATATAAATATTAGTACTCCAAGGTCCTATCACACTCCAGCATTAGTAAGAAATCAAATTCAGGACAAAGCTATGCAGGTGACTTAACTGTCTGGTTGATAGGGCAAAGAACAGCTTTGGTTCCCACTCTGATAGTGTTACAAGCTTCAGAGGAAGGCAATGGTAAAACACTCCAAAGAAATATTGCAAACAAAATTGACAGGTTGCCTTATGATCAGGATTGCCTAGGTCAGAAATAACTTGAAGGTGCATAATAACATAGTTTGTGATGAAAATTGGCAGATTCTGAGGACACATGGAAGTCCTCTTAGTTTTATGTGCAACAAGCAGGTCCTGTCTCCTCTCTTATCCCATCTCCCCACTCAATGAACATTTTACAAATGGGATAGAATAAACACTGATTCATATTATTCAAGCTGTCATATAGTATCACATGAGAATCTATAAATAATGCTCTCAAAGTAGTTAAAAGAATATACAGCATTATCAGTTTTTAAGGGCTGGGAAAAAGCAGAGGTTTTTGGTACCTAAGTTTAAACAGATAAAAGAAAACGCAGAGGAAGAAGAGGCCATAAAGACACACACTGGTCGTTCCAATCTGATAAGGAATCTGATAATAGAAATTTTAAAGGAAAAAAAAATCAAGAACACTTAGACATTAGAGTGATGCTGGGAAGCTTTTTCAATTAAAATTAGGAGAATATCTTGGAACATTCCTCTAGATCTTGGATCTCAAATAATTTGACTTGTCACATTATATTAGAGCAGTGGTTCTCAACCTGTGGGCCCCGGGATGTTTTGGCCTTCAACTCCCAGAAATCCTAACAGCTGGTAAACTAGCTGGGATTTCTGGGAGTTGTAGGCCAAACTACCTGGGGACTCACAGTTTGAGAATCACTGTATTAGAACATGGGTTTTCCATTAGAAATTTGGTCTGATACATTTCTGATGGCAGACTTGGATGTCTGTTTGCACTCCCCTTCTGTACACACTGCAGCAGATGAACAAAATTCAAAAAAGGCCCCAGGTTACATTCAATGTCTTTATGAGCCTGCAATTGTTTTGTCCCAAAGCTGACGTACCAGCACACTCGCTGCCAGCCAAATCAACCAGTTGAAGTTTTGTTCTAATTTGCTTCAGTTTTCCCATGGATTCACTGACAAAAGAGGCTGGTGAAGAAGCTCTAGAAGGAAAGGAGGATGTGTCATCTTTCACTGAGTGGGGAGATGTCAAGAAATGTTCTTTACTTTGTCTTTGACTAGAAGGGTCCCCTGAGCAAGATATACCTGGACAAAACAAAGAGAAACCAAGAAGAAAAGTTTATTTCTAATCCTGCAAACACAAAAACAGACTAGCAATCTGGAGGGTTAGGATTTTTTTTAACCAAAGCTCTCAGCATGGCTAGTCCAGTCTTTCAAAACTCAGAACAAATACACAGTTCAGTACAGTTTTTCTTAAAATGATCAAAGATGAATGCAATAGATCCAGTGATTACCTTTTCTGAGTGATTCTCAAGCAGTTGACTGGTTTTCACAATGTTGCTTCTGCTAGCATAGAGATATGCCAAAGGTTTTGGCATCTTACTGTGACAATTGTGAAAAGGATTTGTGCAGCACAAGAGCAGCCAATAGGCACCCCCAAAAGACACATTTTATCCACACCAAAGCAAATCTGCAGGGCCTCTTAATTTAGGGTGATGGTTGTATTGGAGCAGAAGACATGAACATGTTTATGGAGCAAGAATCTGTATCCAATAAATCACTGTGTTTCATAGATTATATACATATGAATACTTTTACCAAAACACAGTGAAAGAATTGAAAGTTGATTGAAAGTTGACTAGGTAGGAAGTTTAGACTGATACTTTTAGGGTTACACCTCCTTCTCAAGTTTCCAGCCCACTTCCTGGAATTTTTCTATTCCTTTGTACTCACAGAATGAAGCTTAAACCTAGCTAGAGGAAGATTCCTAGTCTCTTTTTTTCTATCACCCATGTAGTTCTCTTAAATAAAGCTTTTTGTAACTTTAGGTACTGCTTTTCCCCTTAAATAAGGTATCTCATAGTTCCTCATATGCACATCTGATAACAGTAACATATACTAGAAATTTGGTGAAGCATTCTCGGCTGTGATCTTGTGTAATATCCTATCTTGTTCATAACCTGTAGACTGACTGTACAGGTATTCAAAAATCTGTAACAATCTAAAATCCAAATTATTTCTAGTCTCAAGCATTTTTGTTAAGGATTAGTCAACTATGGAAAAAGCTAATATGCCCTGGTGTTTACTGATTTTAGAAGGAAATTAAAGGTACTAAACTTTTGAGCCTTTGATTTTTTATTTTTTTATGTATCCTCAGTTGAGTCACTTTGCTAGTAGAGGCTCAAATATTCTCAATGTGGAATTGGTTTTGATTTCAATTATGGTTCATAATCTGATATACTTATTATTCTATTATTTATTTATTTATTTATTCTCTTTTATTAAAACCTGGTGTTATCAGTTCAATGTGACCAACAAGAAAATATGAATTGAAAAAGACTTACGATTACATTACTTCCCAAGCACTCATTCCAGAATAATGTCTAAATAATAGTTCTCAAGTAGCTTTTCTATCTTGAATTTAGGCAGTGAAAGTAAACATGCAATATAGCTTCTTACCATAGTCATCCTCTGAAAGAACTGTAGTTAAAGTCAAAGTCACCACAAGATGAGAGCGAGAAGAATGAGCATGTACTAGTGTTGGATGCTTGACCCTCAGTTGAAGTCCCTTATTAACTAGTTCTAGGAACTGCTCAGCATCTTCAACAGGTCTACAAAAAAACCACACATACTGTATTGTAATGGATTAAGAAAATTCTGCAATTGGATGTGCATGCACATTTATAATTTTTCTCTGCACCTGAAACAACAGTTAAAAATAACCACAACAGTCATGTAGTCCAAACCCTAGGCAAGCAGGAATAGATAGCTAAAGAGATGGCCATCCAATATGTGTTTTAAAATGTCCCATGAATGAGAATCCACCAGGGTTGGAGGAAATATATTCCAATGTTGAAAATCTTTTACAATCAAGAATTTCTGATTAAAGTTTGCATTTTAGAGCCATTGGAAATGTCCCTCCTTCTCCATCTCCTACCTCCTCCAACGTAGCTCTCAACATTATTCAGAAACGTATGTTCTTCCCAGATGTTGCTGAAATAAAGCTCTTATAATTTCTAATCATTGTTATACTAGGAGCCTAGAGCATCTGAGATCTAAATCTGGTCTGCAAATCACTAGAAAGTTGAGTTACTCATATTTCCTTTCAGTTTTGGAATGATTAAATAAAATATAGGTTATTGCATTTCAAAAACCCAGAAAACAACATATGCATTCAAGAAGTGAATGTACAAAAACAGCTTCACTGAAATAAGGGTATTTTATATAAAATGATCTGCCACCTCCTTTCAATAATTCTATGGACATTTATGAATTTCATAAAAAGGAAAAAGTCAATTACAACACTGCACCAACCTAAAGCTGCTTCTTGGCAGGGCGTTGGACAGGATGGCCCACGAGATCTCTTCCAACTCTACGATTCTAAGCTAAACTCCTTTAACCATGTTTTGAAGTGACAGATGATCCTTAAAAGCACATGTGCAAAAGTTTGGGGCCCATATTATGTTTTAACTGTTTTGATGTCCCTTGTAAAAAACTTTTATTGTTAATTCACAATACTTCTATCCTTTTGTAGAAATAGAATGTAGACTAGCAAAATGATATTTTCATTTATGGACCAACTGCCAAGTCTCTACCTTTGGAAGACAACCATACTTGCCCACGAGTGATTGTCTATGATGATGACGATGATGTTGATGATTTTGACTAGAATAATAAAGGAACGATATTTTGAAGTTCAACACATTTTCTAAGATATAGTTTTTAAAGTAATTAAAAGCTGTTGGGTATGCAAGCAATAGATTATGAGGCAACCTACAGCCTGCCACCCTCGGGGCAGATCAACTTGAACATCTGAGATCAAATAATAATTCTGGACATTCAGTTTGGATAGACAGAATCAATCCCAGGCTTTAAACAATGACATATTCTAATCAGAGCTCTCCAGTACTCTCCTACTGCTTCTTCTGTCCATTATGTAGAAAAGGAGAGATTGCTTGCACTTGGTCTTCTCCTAGGAGCCTTCTATGAGGAAACCTCAAGGAAAAATGATGTAATGTAATGTAATGTAATGTAATGATGTAATGATGATGATGTAATGATGATGATGTTTTTATTGTACTGTGTTGTGTTATTTTGATATGTAATGATTTGTACTTGTTGCTCTTTTAGATGATTGTATTTTATATATGCTGTAAACCGACCTGAGTCCCTCATCGAGGTTGAGAAGGCCGGTATAGAAAACCTCTAAATAAATAATAATAATAAATAAAACTGCTTGGAAAAACAGCTTATGAATCCAACGTAATTTTTTCTGACAAAAGGGAAGTGAAGAGAATATATTGCAGGCTTTTGGGATTTCTGGTTTTACCCAGGAATTTCTTAAGTGAGGCAATAACCTACAAAGAACACTGAAGTTTGTGAGCAGATAATACATGGAACTGAGGCAGGCCACGTTGTCATTTGTAAAAGAGAAGGAAATACAAAAGCTTTCATAGTTTCCACCATGAAGTAAATTATAGTTACCTGATAGCAACCATCAACTTACATTACACAAGACATAAGATGCATTTACAGCTTAGCAGATAATGCCAGATGTCTAATGATTTAATTATGGCAATTGCTTATCCACTGCTGCCAGTTGACAAGAAGTAAATTCACAAGTTACTTTTTGGAATAAGAGTCATGGGGTAAAGTGAAAAATATCTCCAGTTTTTCAAACCACTTCATCTTATTTCTGTTTAGTATTATCTTCCTGAATATATATAGAGTATAGCTAAAGATATAGAAAAAAAGTTCAAAATCTGATTCTGATTTTCTCTGTCCAAGTGAAACATATATTAATTAATCCAAAATTGGGTTTTAGTATGTAAAATCTTGAACTTCTTTTTCTGCTAAGGTGTAGACATCAGAAATAAAATGAACTGAACCTAAAATAAATCTAAATTCAAAGTGCTATTCTCAAAACAGAGTTGACTGATTCAATAAGAGCTTTATAAATTCCACTTATTCACTGGGTCCAATCCAACTAGAACTAACATTGGCTGTAAGCCTTTGGTTGCAATCTTATGGTCCTGGAAATATGTCTCATGGGCCCTAAGAAATGAGGGATTCTCACTCCAAGATCTCACATGAAGCTCTGATGGAAAAATGTAACATTTAATTTCCCCTGGATCCTGTTTAACTAAAGATTTTTTCATGGTGACCTCACTTTCCAACTTCTGAGAGGACCAAAAATCAGTATCATACAGCAGCAATGGGGAGGAAAAGACTGATAGTTCTAAGTCCCAATAAAACATTATATGTCCCAGAGTCTATATAGATCCTATCCACATCTATTTACTTCCCATTATGTGCACTCATAGGACTTTTTTTGCCATAAGCTGAAAAAAAAGGAAGGAACAGAAAGCTGGAAGTCAGCTCTGCCAACACTTCTGCCCTCCTGGCAAGAGGCCCAGCAAGGCTTTGGACATGGCAGAGGCTGTGATGGCATGCTCTAAATGTCCGCTTCTCAGTTCTTCTCCCCACTTCTCGGCCTTGCAGCCTCGGGAAGTATTTAAGATTCTGTGAAAAGTGCAATTTAACAATTTCTCCATGAACCTCACTTTCCATGAGTTGATCAATGCATACAAAATATAAAAGCAGACTGGAAGGATTAGGTTTGCTGAAGCCTCCAGTCCATTTGGTATATTTTCAAATCAAGGGATTTTTGGCAATAATAAAGAACCACATAAACAAAGCACAAATGGTTTGCTTATGTTAGTGGAACCCACAGACAAAAATACTCTCTTAAATTATCTCCTTTGTGGCCTACTATATTATAGTTTAGAAAGGAAATAAAAGGCGTGTTGTGTCTGACTTTCAGCTCCCACCCCCTACTCCCAAACTGCATAAAAATGCTTGAGTTGTGACTGAAAGAATCAAAGTAAGAAAAGAGCCCTCAAAACTTAATTTCCTTAAGGAATAGAAACAGTTATGTTTTTTTATGGAATTTTAACAGAAAATATGGTTTTCAAGGCACTACCACACAAATCCCTTCAAACTCTTTCTTATTTGATACTATAGCAAATTTCCAATTGTAGGAGTGCTATAATACACAGAGATCAAGTAGATGACAATGTCCTGCATCCTGAGAAGCTCTAGCTGGTCAGTTATCTCCAGGGGAGAAAACTTTCAGATCTATGTAGAAGACCTGAAAGTCACATTGCTAATAAAGTTAGATAAAATGCCTATGACAAGATTCTTTTGTCATAGGCACATAATGTAGCATTTCTCTAAGATCATTTGTTGCCCCAACTGTTGTCCCTATTACACCTGAATACTCACTCGTAGGTAAGAAGAGGGACATCACTCTTTCCTTCTTTATTTGTGATTATGCCCCTTTTGACACCACTTGATCTTCCAAAGTTGTCTTTCGCCAGAAGATCAAACACTTCATTGTTATACACTTCAACAACAGAAACTTCAACCAAATGGCTTCCTAGTGGTTTTTCTGAAAGAAGCCTAAAGAAAGGGAAGAGGAAAGGGAATGCTTAAGAGGTTAAAACCAAAGCTTAAGCAAATGGGGCTTACCATCTGGGAGGCTACTACTGCTGCTGCTGCTGCTGCTGCTACTACTACTACTACTTATTCAGTGTTTGTCCCACTTGATGGCAGGGTGTAGTAAGATTCAAACGTACAACTGGGCAGGCGGGACAAGCAATCCACCCACTGCCCTTCAGCTTACAGGGTTATCGTTCAGCTGGACACTTTTTAGAATAAAGATAGTTCACTATAACAAGGGGGAAAGACTCTCTTATCCCACCTTAGTACTATATTTATTAAGTGACCAACTGTGATGTAGTTGTAGACCAATGTAATTGTTAAATCACTGCCACCACCTCAATTGAATAGGTCTGAGGAAAACCATATGTGTGATTGTGAAAAATAGAAAAAGTTGTATTTAAGCTCTTTGTTCTTTTTTGACCACTGTTACTTTTGCTGACTGGACTGAAAGAAATCTTCTTTAAGTTAGCTGAGAATGTAAAGGTTATTATAGACCGAGGCAGACACCAATTTAAAGGTGAAATAAGAAACAGGTTTATTTTAGAGCTAGATAAACAGATCAACTCTTAAAAGAGTGGTACAATAAACTTGATGCAGTTCAGTTCCTGAGGCTTAGCTGGTTTTAAACAGGCAGTCCTACTTAAAAGCTTCAACTTTTGTTTCTCAGTGAGATTCTTGTCCCCACACTGATCACTAACTGACACAGTGTGTCTTTGGAGCACAGCACACAAACTGCCTCCTAGAGCAGATCAGACTCCCTTTTCACTGTCCCTACTCTGATCAGTGAACTAGGGTCCTTTACCTATCACTTGCTCTAATTTCTCAAGGCTCACACAAGTCTTCCCTCCCTGCCTAAGATCTCTATAGCTCTCTCTCCCTAAAATATACTTCTTTTCTCCACGATGTCTAAACTCCAACTCTCTCTACTTGTCAAATAAGCCAGCCTTTTTTCCCTCTAAATCCTAACTCCACCCCTGACTGTCCTAACCAATCAGGAGTCGGCTGACTCCTCCCTCCTGCCTCTGGCTCTCTTGCCAAACCCAGAACATGCCAGCTACTGACTTTCCAGGCTTTGGCCTTCCTGCCAAAAAGGTCAGTTTCATGACACGGGGTCTGCTTTACAGTTCACCTGGTCGTGTTCTTGGTCAGGGTGTATGCCAGCAGTCTTCAGGTCATTGTGCAATGTGTCCAGTGTTGTTTCAGTCACCCCTTGGGTCTCTTGCCAGACATTTTTAAATCAAGAGCAATTTTGAGAATCTGGGAGACTACTGCAGCCTAATTTAAATGCTTTTCAAAATATAAAACATCCATAACCCTGAGCACTGACAACTTTTATGAGAAATATGGGCTCTTTCAAAATTCAGCCCAATCCTGTTTCAGGGACTTTTACAGAATGAGATCAGGTTTTTAAGCGTACATTTTAAATTCATAAGATCCTAGAAAATACTGTGAATAAACTCTTTGTTCACAAGTAGTGTATGGACAAAAATTCTAATTTCAAGAATAAAACTGATCTGTTGATGAAAGCAGCAAGCTGAGGTACAGGATACCATAAAGTTCACTTTTTAAACATTTCAAACAAATTATTTCCAGTTGGTTGGCTTGCTGCAAGAGCAAGCTGCTGTTGCGTTTTCAAACTACTGTTGGCCATGAATTAAGGGTAAGATACAAAGCTTTACAGGATGGCACTGATGAATTCTGCTGCAAATACCTAGGACAGATAGCTAATGCTTTATTCCATATGTACAAGAATACAAATGCAGTATACTATGCCACCAGGTTCTAGCTAAAATCAGGCCCATTCTACATGTAAAGTAATGGTACTATAGTAGTACAGACTTCTTGCAGCTATTGTGAGGAAGAGTAAGCATTGTTTACATTGTGTGCATTCAAATCCCTTATGGCAACCCTAAAGTAAAACTATCATGGTATTTTCTTAACAGATTTTGTTTAGAGAGAGTTTGCTCTTGAGATCCTCTAAGACTGAGAGAATGGGACTTGCTGAGTTCATCAAGTGAGTTTACATATCCAAGCTGCGATTCATATTCTGATCTCCTGGTATCACAGCTCTACATTCAAGCCAAGCTTAGCATGCAAAACAGCTAGCAATTACTTTACTAAACACTTTCTCATTGTTTTGATATTTTACATTTTCTTTCTTTCCTCACTGCTCTTCATGTGTGTGCTTCTTCTACTGATATGTTATGTTTGGGGGTCACCACAACATGAGGAACTGTATTAAGGGGTCACGGCATAAGGAAGGTTGAGAAACACTGTCATAGTGTCTATTAGTTCTTTTTCAACAGTTTGAAACTGAGCACAAGAGATATAATTTTCCCACTTCATTATCTCTGGATGCAACCAATTAGTTTTTACAGGATACATTTCATGTTATCTGTGTATCAATTCCCTTATGACTAATCTTCACTGAGAGAAGCTTATTGACATTTTTACCTGCATTAATTTTATAGGTTCGTTGTTATTTTGAAATTCAATAGTAGTTGAAGGGACACATAGCAGTGTTTGTGCACATCTGCCTTTTTTTGGAAAATTCTCCTCACTCCGCCAAGATGCAAAGAACAGTCTCATAACTGTCAACAGAGGAAGCACATACACAAAGAGCAATGAGAAAAGAAAGAAAATGTAAAATATCAGAACAATGATAAGTTGTGCAAAAATCCTATTAAATGAAAATTGTTAATAATTCTATAGATTGAACTGGCAACTGATTTTATCTCCACAATGTTAATTTGGAGTAAATCTCCACATTAATTTGGAGTAAATCTCCACATCTCCACATTTGTATTTTTGACTAGGCTTCAATAATAATTTAAAATTAAAACCAAAATAAATAACAAACATTTCCCCATCTTGCTGTGGTTTATTCACAGGAACATTTCTTGATATTGTCATCTGTCAGCAGATTAGCACCCAGTACTGTACTAAATTGTGGAATAAATAATCAGTTGCGACAGATGGTCTAGATTTAGAGTCCACTTTTTTTAGACCATTAAAAACTCTTTAGTCAGACTTTGAAGTTAATGTGCCTTTGTTTTATTGATGTATTTTGTACTAGCAGGCTAGTAATAACTTTTCCATACAAATGAAATGAATAAATAAATACTACTATTTCGCATGAGATGTACCTGAATACTTCTTCAGTGGCTCTAGGAATAATACCCAAATCTGATTCTTCTTCTACAGGGAAGGCAACATTATCTTCAGGCTGAGGTCCCAACATAGTATATGTTTTTCCACTCCCGGTCTGTCCATAAGCCATAATACACACATTGTACCTGAAAATCAGAAAGGTTGCTCATTCTTGAAACAAATATATTCTATTAATGGAAGCCAATATCTACACACACATATAAAGTGTGTGTTATTATTTCTAATTTTTAGAACAAAATACCCATTTTATTGTTTTGTTCCAGAATGTATTCTCGTACCCTGAATAATACTAATATTAGTATAATAATAATAATAATAATAATAATAATAATAATAATAATATATTATTATTATTATTATTATTATTATTATTATTATTTCCCTACTCTGAGGAATAATATTATATGGATTGTAATAAATTGTGGCAAGTTCATGGTGATCTGGGGGCAGGGATCTCTGGTGTGGGCTGGTCCATGAGGTCATGAAGAGACGGAAGCGACTGAATGAATAAACAACAAGTCCCTAAAGATTCCAAGAGAACTATTCTGTCTAGAAATCTCTGGTAGAGGTTGTATTGGAGGACCTAGAGAGATTTTAATAAAATCCATGAATAATAAAATCTGCAGAAGTCAAATCCACAAGTTTTAATGTGTTTATTTCAACTTGTTTGTGAATCATGGACTGCCTATTTTTGTATATGGCCAAAGGGGCCCGTATGTGACCAAAGATAATGAAAGTATCACCATCTCCAATTTCAATCATACTACAAACCAGTGAACTTCAGGTAATTGTCTGCTATATGGTGTCAGACTTCAATTATACCTCTTTAGCCCACATTTTTGTGTAAAACTACAATAAGGCATTCTCGAAGATGACATGAAATACCACTCAGTCTAACTACAAATAGGCAGAAGGGGAAGATTAATCTAAGTGAAAATGTTGTGTCTCTTCAGATTTTAAAGAAATAAGGTTGATCAAAACCACAGATGGCATAGTTGCTCAACTTTTCCAGAGCCACAATCTGCTTTTGTTTAAATAGAGCATCCCAAAAAGTCATAAAGTACTTTTGTTTTTAATAACAGAACATTTCCTGAAGGGCTGTGAAAAAGCCATGTTTCAAGGCAGTTATTTCAAACAGAAGTTGGCTCAAAGGATAAGATGCTTCAACAATGTGTGCACACAAATTGCACTGGAGGTGGTTACTTGTGTGCGGGGCAGGATATTTGGAATGTGAGAAAGAGTAGCAAACTACTTCTCTTTCCCCTCTGAGATCCAATGCTTTTAAAGGCTAAAATGAATGAGGCAATACTGATTCCTAGCAATTGGATAGTTAAGGGAAAAACACAGTTACTATACCTCTATGGAAGATATACTATCTAAGTAGGAATGGGGAAGGGAAGGAAGAGAAAGGAAGAAAAGAAGGAAAAGAAAAGAAAGGGCCTCTCTCTATTCCATCTAAAATATTTGCTCACTCATCAACGCACCCATCCAGCAGAGATGTAAGTAGAGGGGATACATCTGTAAATACTGCAACTTGTGAATCAGTACCACTATAAACTCTGTGGAGAGAAAATATGATTCATTTTGAGAAAATGATCTTCACAGTGACCTTAAGAAAATGATCTTCACAGTGACCAAAAACCAACAATAGAGAGTAGTATGTTTTGATGAAACCTTAATGTTAGTTTAACGATAGTTATTCTCCCCCAAAGCAGTTAGATCTAAAGGAGAGAATTACACATGCCTTTTCTGAAGCTGGTTTAGACATCAGGAAATTAAAAGGGAAGTTCAGACACAACTCTATTTTAATAGCCAGATGCAAGGAATTTAAAGTGTTCTGGACATTGCCGAGCCTGGAGGATCTTGTCAAATCTGAGTTATTTCTAGAGACACAAACTAAGTTAAGATACATTTTATTGGACCAAATGTGTTGGTGGAGATGCCAGAAAAAATTAGATCCTTTGAGCTTCATAAAACTTTCCTTCAAGCTAAAATGTTCAAAACATGATTTTAAAAAGGAGAAAAACAAAGAAAACACAATGGAATCGCCTATATTTTCGGAGACTGCCCCCAAAACTCTGGTACTCCCTCCTTTGTGGGACAAGGATGGCCCCGTTCTTGCTTGCATTTTGTAGGCAGTTAAAATGTTCCTCTGTTATCCGACATTTAGGAAATAATGTGAGCTGGGCTTTAGGGAATTGTGTGATTGGGATTTTGGGGTGGGTATGGAGTTTTGCCGGCCACATGACCTTGGAGGTGTCTACGGACAACGCTGGCTCTTCGGCTTAGAAATGGAGATGAGCACCACACCCCAGAGTCAGACATGACTGGACTTAATGTCAGGGGACTACCTTTACCTTTACCTTTATGGAGTTTTAATGCATTTTAATATTTTAGTGCTTAATTGTTTCCATGACACAAAAAGTTTTTTTATTTCATATTTATACTTTAATACATTTATATTGCTTAATTATACATTGTTTTACATCTATTGTTACATCTATTGGGAGAAAGGTGTTATCAAATATAAAAAACAAATACTTTTTAATACTTTGCTGCTATAGGACAAAAAGGCAACAAGATTTTCAATCATCATTTAGAAAAAAAAGTCTTTTGCGTGCCATCCAATAACAGAAATATAATGAGGAGTTAGTAATGAATAAGCATAAGGCAAATTGATGCACAAAATAAACAGAAAATTAAACTGTCTTGGAGTTAAAACACAGATTTTAAAACTTGGCCAGACTAGACAACTATAAAAGGCCTGGCCTAGGTGAACAGATAGTAGTAGGCAAGCCTCTTTAGCAAAGCTGTTCCATATTAAGGCTGTGTCTATTAAAAAGGACTTTCAATGGTGACACGCTTCACATTATTAAGTGGGAACAAACAGTGGAGGCCTCTGAAGGTCTCTTAGAATACATTGCTCTGCCAGGACCCCTTCTGGTTACTAAAATCTATGGATGCTCAGGTCCCTTTTTGATAAAATGGCATTGTAAAATAACATCCCTAATATAAAATGAAACAAATATCAAAGTTTGCTTTTTTGAATTAATGTTTTTCCATGTCATGGCTAATGGAATCTGTGGCTATGGCAGCGCAATTGCACAGGGAGATATAAATGAGAGTAGTCGTCTTTTCAATAACTTGGGAGAATGGAAAGCCCTTCTGAAAGTCCTTCTCACCCTTCAAAAAGGTGGAATACTAATGCAGTCAATAAAATAAATAAAAACATTTAAAAACTTTTAAAAATCCAAGTTGTATGTTAATTATTGGTTTGCTTTCCCATTGCTTCCTTTTTCAGAGGGAAAAGGCCATGAAGTCTGATACTGGAATACTGTGAAGCTCAAAGGGATGCACTACATCATTTCATAGAATCAGAAATGGAAGACACTACATAATCCGTCAAGCCCAGCCCCTTGACAGGCAGGAATCCCAAATAGAAACTCTCCTGACAAATGTTTAAAAATCTCCTGAGAAGTTTTCATCACATTTGGAGGCATGGTTTTGCTGGCCTCCAGGATTTAAAGGATCACACCAGTTTGGGGACTGGAAGTGATGTTACATCAGTTTTTTTCCAGGTTTCTTAGCTGAAACAAAATGAGAGAGATACTTAGAGCTGGAGGAAGTGTGGGTGTGTGGATATACCAGAAGCTGCACTGTGCGCCCAAAGGGATGCCTAAACTTGCAGATCACAAAATATCCCATCCTCCTTTTAGAGCCGGCACTGGCAAACTTTGGCCCTCCAAGTGTTTTGGACTTCAACTCATGCAATTCCTAACTGTTGATAAGCCTTGCTGGGATTTCTGGAAATTGAAGTCCCAAAACACCTGGAGTTTGTCCATGCCTGTTTTAGAGTGTGAAACCTCTAGAACACCATTCACCTAGTTGGCCAAACCACCAATCAGTGTGTCACACATTTCTTTGCCCCAACTAAATGAACATAATTATTTTGCTCTGTGTACTTGCTTTAAAACAAAAACAAACAAACAAACACCCCACACAATAATGTCCAGTTTACTCAGTGCTTTTCTTGCCCAGCCTATATATTTGGAATGTGATCCCATTGTTTTTTCTTTAAAGTTAAATTACAGTCATTTTGAAAATAAATCTTATTTATTTCTAAATAGAAATTAAAATTTGTCCTCTGGCCCATCAGTGCTTTATCAAAAGAACATAAGATGATCCCATTGGATCAGATCAAAGGCCTCTCTTGTCCAGCACTATATTCAGTGGCCAACTGGTTGTCCCAATGAGAAGCCCACAAACAGGATGTGAGTGTGACAGGGAGAAGCTCAGTGTATTTTACAGCTAAGGCTGTCACATTTTCAGTTGTATCACTCTATTTCACAAAGAAATCTAGCAGGGAATTAGTTAAGGACAAATCAGACACATTGATCGGGACACTAAAATATTTTTTTCAGACCTTTTGGCAGTGTTTAGATTGTTTGAATCACATTGTAAGCTTGGTACTAGGGGTCTTTATGGAAGCTACGTATCCACTTTCATCACTGGAAATAATATTAACACACTTTATTTGCAATGTAGTTACACTGATTAGCAATCTTCTTGTGGTTATAGAAAAGGGGAACCTTTAGGCTACTGCACTTTTTAGCTTTTATCTTTGAATAGCTGTTTGAGATAATTCACTGATTTCATTTATTAGTTGAATTTTTTCCATCTTTCCCCAAAAAATGGGATTCAATGCATCTCACATTAAGAGTGATTAAAAATACAATCAAAACATTCAACACATTCACTTACCAATGCACAATTTAAAATATATCATATAATAAATTAAAATTTAAAAAAACACTTGCTTCGTAAAAGATTACAGAATGTTTTTTAAAAAAACCTTTTATATAATGATACATAGACAAAAGTTGTGCCGTTTGCAAGTATTTTGAAAGATTTTGCATCAAACTGAAACCTGTATTGGCTGACTCTGCATTTCTTATATTTAGTGAGAAAATATCCCAAGAGGAAAGAATTGTGTATGGTCCTGCCCTTGAGCTCCACTCCTCTCCCTTGGTGTAATCCTTTTTGTTCCCTTCCACCACTGGAATGCAATTTCCAAAATACTTCCAAATTGAAATTCAGATTTTAAACTAAACAAGTTCTCCACCCATGTTATCAGATCCAATGTGTTCACCTTGGCCTGCAAGTGGACTCTTCTGCTGTTGTGTACTCTTAACACTTAGTAATTTGTTATGACTAGCGAATTATTTCTACTGAGAAAACGATAACAAAAACAATTAGCACTACAAATATTTTTTAAAACCTTCCCCTTTTAAAAAGTTTTACTACTAACAGAAAGACTAACTGAGCTTACTGTGTTCACATATGGTTCAAAACACATACATTGGCTGATAATTTTCATTCAATTTTGATTCTTCAAATCAAAATCTTTTATTACGGTCATAGACCAGCATAAGGAGTGGGGTACAGCCTTAAAAAAGCATTGCACATTAAAATCTAAAAGGATAGAATACAGATGTTGAAAACATACTTGATTCTTCTCCATTGATCTGTTTCCATGTGGACCTCACAAAAACTATTTAGAGAAGGGAAGGAACTAGAAGGGGATGGAATGGGAGGGACATTGATGGAGGAGAAGGAGCATTCAGGGCACAAGTCTAGAGGACTGGGTTGGGAAGAACTGATTTACATTTCAGTTATCTGATAGTTCGATGGTTAACTTTTGGAACCAGTCATGATTTGAGTTTGGACAAGGAATGTGGGAGACAAAGGCTTTACATCATGAATTGGCCAAGAAAGTTTACCCTTTGACAAGGCCTACTGTCTCAGCTTCAGTGAAAAGCAAAGGGAAATCTTTCCAACCAATGTCTTGGAGGCATACAAAAACCAAAATGATTTTATTCTGCTGCCAGTGCACAGAAGAATCTTATTTGGACTTTATTTATGCCATAGAATCTACCCTTCTTCTGAGATTTTTGAAGAATTTCTGAAGCTATGAAGCCAGAGGTTAAAGAACCACTCTTATCATGCAGCATACTTTGCAAAGATTCAGAAAATATACAAAGAAAAGGATATCAAAGCTGCTTTGCACAATGAGACTATGAATGATAACTTTTTTTGTAACATACTAAACAATGCCCTCCTGAAGATTATGCATAAATATTTCAGACGTTTTTCCTCACCCTTCCCCCTTTCAATTGCCTTCCAGAGAGGCAATGTACTGAAGATGGTATCAACATGTATTCTCATCATGCATAAGACAATCTCTCAAATATGACTTGTTGTTATTGGGCCTATGATCCAAAATATACTTGATTCTTCTCCCTTGATCTGTTTCCATGTGGATCTCATTATGAGATCACCTGTAAAGCCATGGTTCTCAACCTGTGGATCCCCAGATGTTTGGGCCAACTACTTCCAGAAATCCCAGCCAGTTTACCAGCTGTTAGGATTTCTAGGAGTTGAGGGCCAAAACATCTGGGGAACCACAGGTTGGGAACTTCACAAAAATCATACAGTAGTTGTTTTTCATTCCCAGTTAGTTTATAAAAATGCAGGAAATAATAATAGATGTTTGTCTTGTGCTTGCATCGTCATCTAACATTTTCAATCTGTCTGACTGACATTTGGATGTGATGTGAAGAGGCACAATAACTCCATTTTCTGCCTGCCACTTTCTTTCATCAGATATGTAAAGGCAATCCAAAGGGTTCTGTGTGTGCAAAATGACAGGTGTCCTCCTCTTGGTTACCTACACCTTCCAGCTATATTGCTTTTTAATGCACATCTCTTCCTAAAACCAAAACCCTTTAAAAACAGTCTTGACTATTTCACTAGTAGAAGTTTCCAAAAATGTAGAAAAAGCTGAAGTTTCTTTTTCTGAAATAAAATCAAGTATTTTGACATTTATTAGTTCCATTTAAAAAGCTGCTACAAAAATAAACATATGAAGTTCATAAGAACCATATGCTTCACTGTTTATAAGTATAAACTGTGCAGGGACACTGAAAAAAAAACCCACTTCCAAGAGCTACATTCTTTAATGGAATTTACTATTTAACCCTAAGGGGGGTATACAAACATATATGGCCACACATCTGGACTGTTCTTTAAAGCCTGTAACATTCTGAACTGGAAGCAGTTTTTTTTCAACTTTTCTTTAGGGAAATTATTGTTTTCTTCATGTGAACAGATGAGGCACGATTGTTGTTATTGGGGTTTTTAATGTTTATATCTTGATTTTTTCCTCCCACTTCAGGGACTGAAGGAGGATTACAAAAGTTAAAATAGATACAGTAAAAAAAATCACATCATTCAAAAGTTAAATATATAATTAAGCTCTCAATAATATTAAAATGATTAAAAGTATGATCACTAAAAACATGAATATAAATAATACAGTGCATTATGAAAGACACTTCCCCCAAAGGAATCAGTCTTTGAAGGCCTGTTAAATCAAAAATCATCTGTTTGTAGACACATAGCAAGAATGAGCCCAGTTTAACTTTTCTAGGAATTCTTGTACTTGTAAGAAGGTAGCAAGAAGGATCTCTCCTGTGATTCTGACCAAGCTTGTTGTAAAGCAGTGGTTCTCAACCTGTGGGCCCCCAGATGTTTTGGCCTTCAACTCCCAGAAATCCTAACAGCTGGTAAACTGCCTGAGATTTCTGGGAGTTGTAGGCCAAAACATCTGGGGACTCACAGGTTGAGAATCACTGCTGTAAAGGGTAGCTGAATAGAAAGAAGGACCACTTCAGGAGATAGTAACATGGCTCATATGGAAAAATATGGTCCATTTGATAACGTAACACTTAGACTGCATGGGGCATTTTAAACTGTATCTTTTCAAAACTGTATCTTTCCAAAACAGGCTAGAAGCTAGGTGAGATGTTCCAATAATTGAGTTGTGTGCTTCCTTTAACCAGCTTTGATTAACCATCTGGTGATATCAGCAACCGCAGCATCCCATTTCTTTCCCAAAACTGAGAATCAAGGCAGATCAAAGTAGCTTGGAAACTGAAGTTTTGGGGAAAAGGCAGCCCCACATTGAACAAATTACATTAACACTATGTAACTACAGCATGTCATCATAGTCAGATCCAATCTTTTTCTGTTGGTTCTGAGGAGTTGGGTGGGGGAGAGACATACAGTATGGTCATTTGTGATTTACTATTAAGCAAGTGTGAAAGCTTTTGTGTACAAATAAATATTAAGTAAATAGAATGAAAAGGCATCTATTTCTTATGCATTCTGGGAGGTAAGGTGTAAATGTTTGATGTGTCTTTGGTTGTTACCCACTCCTCTGGATCCCCAAATCCATTTATTTAATCACTAGCACATGGATCTGTTATACACTGAACATACACTTAAGCAACACCATTGAGAAACTACTCATTTACTGTAAATTATTAATAAAGGACAGACACCACTTCAGTAACTGATTAATTCAAGAGACAAAACCTGTGTTTTTAGAAAGTGTGCTTCAAAACTTGGGGCATAAGTTGAGATGTAGTATTTTGAAACCGAGAAGGATAAAATATCATATACAGTCAGTCCCTGGGTTACAAACATCTGACTTACAAATGACTCATAGTTAAAGACGGGGGTGGGACAACAGGAAGTGAGAGATATCCACCCCTAGGAAAGGAAATTCACTCCTGAAAAAGTTATCATGGGGAAAATGTGCCTCCGCTGAAGCTTTATCACCAATCCTTATTCTCACTGCAAGCTTTTTTTTTCTTCAAAATTGAACTATCCCAGATACAGAAAGTGAGATTAAATCTTCTGAACAGGGGCACAGACAGCAAAACAAACACCACAAAGGTGTTAACCCTTCCCTATGCTATCCAAAGCTATATTTGTGTGTGTGTGTGTGTGTGTGTGTGTGTGTGTGTGTGTGGTTGGTTACAATGCTTCTGGCCTTTTTTAGTGCATAGGTAGGGAAATGGCAGTGGAGGCAAGGAGTGGCTTTTACTTGCAGGGTGGTTCCAGACAGCAAATCGCTCCTGACTTCCCCTTGCTTTCTCGCGCATAACGGTACATTCCAGGAACTGTGCAGTGAGGCCTAATGGAGGCTGAGTAAATTATTTTTAGGGCTTTTGGGTGGTGTTGGGAAGGGGGTGGAGGCAATCTCGCACCTTTCTGGCTCCAGGAGCCCCGAAGAAGTGAGGTGGGTGTTTGGACAGGCCACAGAGAAGTCCCAGGACTACCCGTGGGCCTGTCCACACAAGGCAATAGCCTATTAGACTAAAGCCTTTCACAAAGGAACGTGTCTAATGGGCTATCAAATTAATTCGTGACAAAGCAGAGTTTTCCTGCTTTGTGCCAAATGCAGTTGCGATTGCTTAAGGCATCATCTAGCTGTCCCAGTGAAATATGCGTGCACGCACGCGTTTTGTGCCCTGTCTGGGTGGGCCCAGAGTTCACTTTGATGTGTTCCCCTTTCTATAGAATGATCTTTGATATACATGGAGACAACATATACATGAGTATATACAGTCATTACTCTTTGCCTCAGAAGGAGATTAGAATTCTATTTTGTTTTTACAATTTTAAGTACTGTGGATTCAAAGAATTGTGCAACTGCAGGAGCTTTTGGAATGTTGAGGAATTTTTTATCAACCCCTACTAAAATTCATTAACCACCCCCCGCCCCCAAAAAAAACCCCAAAAACAAAGCTACAATCATGCCTAAGACCACCCACCTTTCATACTGGAACGTCTTATTTATCAAAGCATGACCAGGGCGGCTACATCTTACAATGACAGTTTCCTAAGAGAAAACAAAAGTGGTAACAGTTACAACATATATCATTAGAGACTAAATGAAAAGAAAAATGTATGCTTTAAGCTTCACCACAAAGTAGGATGCTTAAAAACTTCCAAATTGCTAGCGCCATATAGCCAAAATCCTGTCTTCAATATATGGGACTTAAATGCTGACGTCTGGAAGAATTGTGGAAGGGGGTTCAGTGAATAATAATCTGGGATGCCACACACAGAGCTCCAGGAGATTGGTCAATACCCTTCTCTGTCACAAACATAGCCATCAGCAAGACAGAGTTTCACAGATGGCTTTTACTGAAACAGGCAAGAGATAACAGCATAATCCCCCTCCTTATGCATTGAATCTTGAAGGAAGACCAGGCTAAGATACAGCTTTCAATCCAGAGAGTGTTCTCGTTGTTTTCTATTTATGAACAGTTCTTTTCTCTTATTTATCAGGATCAATGATTCTCTTGTGACAGACCTTCCCTTTACTCATCTCCAAATCTGAATTTACTGAGTCAGGCTGGTGTATTGACAATAAGTTTCTCTTTCCATGGCTTGATTGGGCCAACAAACCTCTGATACAATGAATAACAATCAGTCATACCATATGCTTCAAAGCTTGGATGGATAATATTAATTACTCTTTCTGGCTCTCCCAAGCAAGCTGAGAAGAAATAGTTGAAAGCAAATGTTACCAACTGAAAACAAATATTGAAAGGAAAGCTAAGTATCTTTTTTTAAAAACTGTTCAAACCGATTTCTCATTCTGAGAAAGCCAGGAGATGCCATGGCACTAACCACCCACTCATACTTCCAACACAAGTAGCCAAAATAATCCATATGAAAAAGATTGAGGAGAATGAATAGCATCAAATACTGAAATGAAATACTATACTTTACTTGCAATAAAAATGTACATCTTGGCTCCAGAGGAGAAAAAGATATTTTTTCTCCTGTGGCAAATTTAAAGGCAACAATTCCCAAATAAATAGACTGGAAATATTTTCTAATCTTGTTTACCATGCACTTTCAGCAGCTTTCAGACCTTCCCAAATCTACAGTAATTTTGGTTTCAAAGCATACTGCATTAGAAAATTTGTAGTAACTGCAATTCTAAACAATGCTGAGAATGAACAGGCCTGTGTCACAATTCACCACTGAAACACACCCTACCTGTTTTCAGCAATAACTTAATCTCCATTAAATTTGTAGAGCTGGTATAGAAGAGCTTTGAGGAAGTGCTACATTCTTATACTTCATGAGTTTGCCTATACTTTCCAAGCCTAATAATGGGAGTCAAGAGGTGGAATAGTGATGAGATGTTGGAGAATTACACAAGAAAATGCATTTTAAAAAAAAATCATCGATGGGAACAGACAAACAATCAATGAAATTATCTCAGGATCAAGCTCCCCAACAGTGTCTTTTGTCAGCACCCTAGCAACTGTTAGTATCCAGCAGTTGTTATTCCCAGATTTGTTTTCAACTGTAGAGCCACATAAGTGCAATAAAATAATGCCGATAGAAGGTTATGAGAATATAGGGGACAGCAGCTGAACCATCACTTTCCAAAAAAAGAGAGAAAGGTAACACAAGTGTGGCTAAAATATCTCTATCCAAAAACAAAAAAAAAAATGGCATAATATTAGTTTAATGAAAGATTTCATGAAGCAAAGGCACTAAGTGAAACGAAAATGAAGGGGAGTCTAAAAGGGTAGGGAGACAGCATAGGGGTCGATCATGCACTCTTAAGGCAGAAGACCCAAGTTTCAATCCTCAACATCACTAAAGAAAGATTAAAAAGGGATCAAGTAAGCAATGATGAAAGACTACTGTTTGAAACCTTGAAAAGCCATTGCCACCCAGAGCAGGCGGTACTGGGTGAGATGTACCAGTTGTCTGACTTAACATAAGGCAGTAACATATGTACATGTGGTGTTCATAAAAAGTGCCCTTCTGTTATATTTCTAAATGCTACCATAAAAGGAAAATTGTCTACACACCTACATGAAGTGTAGGGTATCTGACTAAAAACCATAACTGCCAAGAAAATTAAATAGTAAAACCTGGATTAAAACTAGCAACTTAGTTCACCACGTCATGCCTTTCAAATTTTATTTCTTGCTAATAGGCTTAATTAATACTGGAATGCCATCTGGATCTGCAGCTCAGCTCTCAAGCTCCCTTGCTCTGGTGGATTTAAACCGGATTCTTTCATTGCACTTGAAAGCCAACCTCCATAGCCAGCTGCATTCTACTTTTTCGATCCCATATTTCTAGCCTAGCATCTATGGCATGATATTGAAATAGAAATACAAGTGGTTTAACAGGTAGATGGGAGAAACTTCATTATTATAGCCTGCATGTTATTAACAGGACTTGGGCACACAGTTATTACACCTTTTGCTAATCTTGAGAAACCCTTGTTCAGACACGCAAGTTCATGTCTGCAGGCAAATAAAACTTCTCAGCCTTGCTTTAGTAGTGCAATTACAATGCAAGTGATTCATTTTAGATTACTGTGAGGTCAAATAATGCCCTTTGATAGAAAACTATTAATAAAGGAGACAACAGAAGCCAGATCAGCCAAAGAAAATATTACTTAATCTTCCTCACTAAAATAGCCTTGTCATATTTTTTAAAAAAATATACAACCAAGTCTCTGCAAGTCTACATTCAAAGATCATAGACACATGGTGTCTTGAAACAGTGGGTTGCAATATTTACTAAGGCTGCAGTTCTGTGAATGCCTACCTAGAAATAATTCCCATTGAATTCAAGAGAGCTTAACTTCATTTACACATTACTAGGATTGCACTGCAAACCAAAGCAAGTCACTTAGTAATTTATGTCAATTAAAATCTCTGACTCATTAACTGAGTGTTACCTTCATCACCAATCTATGAACCAATCCATCAAATGTGTAAGGGGAACTCATCTCTCCCATATGTACCAGAGAATCTGTGTCAATACATGGATGACACCTTTTCTCATGCACTGAAATGATAACAGGGAAAAATATGGGACAGCCTCTAGAACTCACTCAGAGAAATCTGAGTAGTTGGATTTATAGTAGCAGTGGAGTACTAGCTTTCCAGTGGGCTTACTTCACCTCCAATTAAAACTGTTACCATTCATAGATCAACACACTCTTCCCTATCTTGAATTATCATGGCTTCAAATTTTGTCCATGACACCATGACTTCTTTAATTAGCTGAAAACCCTAATCACTGTAAGAGAAGTGCAGGTGTCACATGAAATAAATTTTAGAGTGTGAACACGATGAAAAACAGAATAAAACTGAAGCCAAATTATCTTCAAAGCAAGGCTGGAAGGGTTAGCCTCAGGACATTCCTCACATCAGAGAAAAGAAAATTAACTACTCAGGAAAATCTGCACCTGAGAATGCAAAGCCCCTGTAAAGAAAGGATAGCACTGTCTATTCATTCTTATTCCAAAAAATACTGCCTCTTTAAATTATTCCAGATTTAGAATATAATAAAAATTAAACATACTCACATCATCAACTGCACGTACAACTTTTTCTGAAATGTTTCTCTGCCTTTCAAAGAAAAAATAACAGAAGAATAATAAGTGGAAGAAGGTATATCAACAGTTTGCACAAAAGAACTCAGGATTCACAGGTGGCCAAGAAACATAGGGCCCAAGATCCCAAAAGTTAACACTGCACAATAGCATTCAGAACACAGGACAAAGTATATCTGCTTTGTTTATCTCCCTAAACACACACTCCAGCTGTTCCGACAAGACAAATTCTATATCAGTAGTATTAGTGTAACACTGATTTTTATTGGAAGAAAACTGCCATTAGTTAATTACCTCAAAAAAGGATAACCAGAAGCTTCAAAACAACTTTGTTCTAGCCATTAGAACTATTTCCAATGCCACCAGTATAATAAAAATGATCAACTAAAGTTATTAAGACAAAAATACAAGCTGAGTATCTCTTATCTGGAATTCTGAAATCCAAGATATTCCAAAACCCAAAACAGTCTATATGAATGGATGGAGGTCCTTCTACACAGGCCCAATAACCTTTGATAGTAATGGGTTTACCTGAGGAATACAAACAATGCCTCAGGTAAACCTGGATAAATGCAGAGTAAACTGGGATTTCCCAGTTTATTCCACATTAATTTGACTCTTGGAAAGATCTGGACCTTAAGTTAAGATCTGGATCTTTGCAGATTCCAGGTCTATGGAGATTGACTCCCAAGACTGCTTCCACAGTCCTGGGGTCAATCTCCACAGCCATCCCGATTCTTCAGGCTCTTGGAGCCCGGAGTGGGTCCACCTGCTCCACCCATTTCCCCAAAAATAACTTACCAGGGGAGCCTGCCAGAAGTGCAGGCCCCCCCTGCAGATTACTCCTGACACGTGAAAATGACACCCCAGGAAGGGTAGAGGGAGAATTTTCCTCCTCCCTCCACCACCTCCTGATGTGTCATTTTCGTGCATCAGGAGTACTCTGCAGAGGGGTCTGCACTGCCAGCAGACCTCTCTGTTAAGTTTTTTTTTGACAGAAATAGGGGCTGCATGCCACCCCAGGTCTACTTTTGGTTGACCCGGGATGACATCTAGTCACCCTTAAAGGGAAAGCCCAGGGTTTAGGTTGGAGGGTGGGGACAGAAACCAGAGAGGAAGTGGATTAAAATAACTCCTCCTGGGTTTCTTCCCTGTCTAGAAGGGCCCTGAGACAGTGATACCTTTGCTTTCTGAGGTTTCAAGGTATATAAATTTTGTTTCAGACCAATGTTTTTTTATTGTGTACAAAATTGTGATACTATGTAAATAAGGGGTATAGGGAACAAATGAATGTTGTGCTTACACTTGAATCCCATCTCCAAGATATCTCATTTTCTATGTGTAAGTATTCCAAAATCTAAAAACAAAATCCAAAATATTGAACATTTCTGGTCCCTTGCATTTTGGATATGGGATATTCAACCTGTATTGCATACATTAAAATGTCCCCCCCCCCCCAAAAAAAAAAAAGACATCAGTACACCAGCTGACATAATCATAGGCATGCAATAAATTACCTGTATTCTAAGACTGACTCTCCAGGAGCAGAATCAAATGGTAACAATGGACGAATCCTACAGTGTACTCGGATGTTGCCCCTTAATTCCTGGTGATATAACACAGAAATAGCAATTTTAAAAAACACCAGGATGCACAAGGAGTGTGTGGTCTGAAACTGAACACATATATTTGGGAGTAACACCCACTTTATAACTGTTGGCAACCAAATCATTCATTCTCAAATAAGGAAAGTGAATGTGTGGATCTCCAAATGTTGTCAGCACTGCCACTCCCAGCATTTTTCACCACTGTCTATGTTGTCCAACAGTCCTATCTAAAACATTGTCAGTCAAGTCAATAGGAAAGAAATGGGGCAGCTATCTTGGAAATAAAGATGACACACAGTTGAAGGATCTTAATTTAATATTAATCTACGTTACCCTATATGAGGGTAGGAAACTCTGAATGATTGGGAAGCAACTTTTGGTCTTGGTACTATGCATTAGCTATACTAGGCATGGAAAAAAAATCAAACACACACACAAGGAAAATGGTTTTTAACCTATGTATTATTTTACTTTACATCCTTCTGGGGCTGGAAGGGTCCTGCACTCAATTTCTGCACTCAATTCTGAAAGCATGTAGGAGTGAGGGGAAATTCAATTGAGGGAGGATAAGAACAAATTTCTCCTGGGGAGACCATGGGGGATGGTTTTTATTTTTTTTATTTAAAACATTTATATTCCACCCTTCTCACCCCGAAGGGGACCCAGGGTGGAGCACAGCATATATATGGCAAACATTCAATGCCGGGCCAAGAATTCATTATATCAGGGGTCCTCAAACTAAGGCCTAGGGGCCGGATGCGGCCCTCCAAGGGCTTTTACCCGGCCCTTGCTCAGGTCAGCCTATGTCTGAAATGACCTGAAAGCTCACAACAAAAACAATCCTATCTCATCAGCCAAAAGCAGGCCCACACTTCCCATTGAAATACTAGTAAGTTTATACTTGTTAAAATTGTTCTTCATTTTAATTATTGTATTCTTTTAAAGTGTTTTTTTTTTTGCACCACAAATAAGATATGTGCACTGTGCATAGGGATTCATCCGTGTTTTTTTTCAAATTAAAATCCAGCCCTTCAACAGTTTGAGGGACTGTGACCTGGCCCTCTGTTTAAAAAGTTTGTGGACCCCTGCATTATATGCTTGCATAAACATTAAAAATATTTATCTCAGCATTAAAATACACTGTTTAAAACTATCTTGATCATCCACATCAAATCTAATTGGCCTGGTAAGGTTTCATATCACTGCTTTATTGCACTGTCCCAAAAGCTTGGTCCCACAGCCAAGTTTTTACCATCCCTCTGAAGGACAGGAGGCAGGGGGCCGATCTGATCTCACAAGGAAAGAAGTTCCATAGCTGGGGCGCAATCACTGAGAAGGCCTTCTCTCTCATTCCCACATGTGACAATGGTGGGACAGAGAGTAGGACCTCCTCGGAGGATCTTAATCTTCATGGTGGTTCATAGGGGGAGATGCATTCAGACAGGTAAATTGAGCCAGGGCCGTCTAGAGCTGTATAGGCCAAAACCAGCACTTTGAATTGTGCCCGGTAGCAAATTGGCAGCCAGTGGAGCTGGCGTAACATGGGAGTTATATGCTCCCTGTATGCTGCCCCAGTTATTAACCTGGCTGCCTCTTGTTGGACTATTTGAAGCTTCTGAGCAGCCTTCAAAGGCAACCCCACGTAGTGTGTGTTGCAGTAGTCTATCCTGGATGTAATATGAGAGCATGGCCCACTGTGGCCAAGTCTGGCCTCCCAAGGTACGGGCGCAGCTGGCGCACAAATTTTAATTGTGCGAAAGCTCCTCTGGCCACAGCTGTAACCTGAGATTCCAGGCTCAGTGATGAGTCCAGGAGAACTCCCAAGCTGCAAACCTGTGCCTTCAAGAGGAGTGTAACCCCGTACAGCACAGGCTATAACCCTATACCCTGTTCGGCCTTGCGACTGACCAGGAGGACCTCTGTCTTGTCTGGATTCAACTTCAATTTGCTCGCCCTCATCCAGACCGTCACAGCGGCCAGGCACCGGTTCAGGACTGACAGCCTCCTTAGCATCTGGTGGAAACGAGTGATAGAGTTGGACGAGTTGTTTGGCCACATGTAGCCCATAAAGCACCTTGAGCCCATGCTTTATATATATAGATCTTTTAAAACATTACAATTACCAGTGTACTTACAACTAAACTGTTATGAAGTACTTTTCTCTTTTGTTTTTCCTTCTGGTATCTCTCACTGACTTCATATAAAGACTGTTCAAGTTCCATGGCTTTAGTCTGAAATACTGAAAACATGTTTGCACAAATGTTCATAGAACTAATAAGCTATATGTTTTTTCTCAGGTAAAGGACCTAGAATGCCAACAGATCTCTATACAGGCAAAGTTGGACTTGCTATAGTTTAAGGAAAGGAAAGAAATCAACAGGTAAAACAGAAGATGGTAATGCTCGGACAGTGGTATTGTGTGAATGATCTAAAAAGAGTGAGTGAATGAAACATCATAATTCCATGGTACACACCTAGGCTGGAATCCTATTGGTTAAGCCTAACTAGGTTAGACCCATTCGACTACTGAATGGTGAGTCAACATGTAGGTAAATCCCATTAATTAAGTGGACATAATCCAGTCAAGACGAACAACTGGAATTAGGCTCTTGTGCAGAAATCTTTCTGTTTTCAGCTTCTGCTGAATCCATTAATTTTTTTTTAAATGCATACACAAATTGCATTTATACATTGGCTTAACAAGCAAACACATTTTGTGTATATAACACCTTAAATGTTCTCTAGCTGTGTTTCCTTCATTAAAAATAATATCCATTGAATTTCTCAATGTCATACCAGTAACATATAATTCACCCACATGTAACTGATCAGGTAAAAACTGCGGAAATGCAAATAAAGTCTAGAAAATATAAGATCTGAGTACGGTACTAATCAAAACATAGAGTTCTTGTCACTTTGGCCTACAACCCTCCAATGCATCAGCCAACCAACTTTTTCAGGCTTTGAACATGTGCAGCAGAATCAATATCCTGCATGGCATGGTGGGGGGCAGGGGGAGAAGAGGAGTATTAAGATATAACATTTCTTACTTTCAATAGTTTCATTATGTAGCTGCAGCCTCTGGATAGCAGACAAAATCTGGTAAAAGAAGTTTTTGCCCTGATGCTGGATATCTCTTGAAAACTGAAGAGCGGACAAACGGAGATTCTTCATATCTTGTTTCAGTCTCTATACAAGAAATAGAAAGCTGTTACATTGTGAAGAGGTGAGAGTGGGGAATAAGAAAGGAAGACCTTCATATTTTAATGTATCTTTGAACATTTATAGTCAAACCACAACTATAAAAAGTTATGAAGGAAAGCTCGCTTTTAAAAAAACTATTAAAAGTGGGACAATTAGACTAGGAAACATTTCTTTATTTTAAGAAAAGAGAATGTTGGATTTTAATTGTTTCAAAAGAATATAAAGCCAAGACAAATTTGTCAAAATGAAAAAATAAAGAACATGGCAAACAACTGTTGTAATATTTACTGTTAACAACCATTGCTTGATGATTCTTTGGCACTTCCATTACATTTTTTAAAAAAATAACATTTTGACCCCACCATACATCTCACAGATGCAATTTAAACATTTCTGTCACTTTATGATTACCTTTTCTGTATGTCAATATTCTAGCTCAGGGGTCCCCAAATAAGGCCCGTGGGCCGGATGAGATCTTCCAAGGACATTTACCCAGTCCCTGCCCTAAACTTTAGACTACAAGTCACCCTAAGTCTGAAACAACTTGAAGGCTCACAACAGTCCTAAGTAACGTGACTCTCTCATCAGCCAAAAGCAGTCCAACACTTCCCATTGAAATCCTGGTAAGTTTATGTTGGTTAAATTACTCTTCATTTTAAATACTGTATTGTTCTTTCATGCTTTATGCACTACAATTAAGATGTGTGCAGTGTGCATAGGAATTTGTTCATGTTTTATTCAAACTATAGTCTGCCCCCTAACAGTCTGAGGGACTATGAACTGGCCCTCTGCTTTAAAAGTTTCAGGACCCCTGTTCTAGCTGATGGTAAATGTTTGTAAGATATATTTGTAGTGGAATCAGATTAGTGCTTCAATAATTCAAAAAGGTAATGGGTTTTAAATAATGGGATTTAAATAAATAGTCTGCAGACAGCCATTTTTTGTTGCCATAGAAAGGAGAAACACACATAATTCAGCAGATGTGTGAAGGAGAACCCTCTCCTTATAACACTGATTGCTGGTATGTTCTCCTGGTAGTCTTTGTACATGTGTACAAATGATAAGGGCAGTGGGTATGGCACTAGTAATGTTTGGAGGAACCTTCAGTGTAAGGGGTAATAATTTACTAATAATTTAACTTTTATTTAAAAAAACAATTTATGAGATTATCTAAAAAGTTGTTTAAAAATTCTGAAATAAAATTTCAAAACGGTCAGTAACATCCTTAAAACCAAAGTCTTCATGGATAAAGTTTTCCAGTTAGGACACTTTAATAAAAAATCACAAAAATGAAGCACCGGTTTATGAATGTTATGTGGCTCAACTTGGATTCTGAACCAAGGGGCTCGATCCATCCTTCTTCCTGCCTTACTATACATATATACTAGAATGTCTATATACTAGAATGTAATTCTGATAAGTCTGTTTACCTGTATAGCTCTGTAAAGCTGGATTACCATGGACTTGGCACTTTCATAGAAATTTTTCTTTCTGCAAAAATTGAAATAATCTGACTGTTCAGGTGAGATATTCCCACTTCTTTGTTGACTCTGTTTAAAAATAAAGAGCAGAATAAAATCTAATCTTGTTACTTCAAAATAAACAGTTCTACCAGAAGAAGTCTATATAAAGTCAAACAGCTTAGATAGTATAATAATTTAGGAAACCAATTGGGAAAATATTTACACAAACAGTATGTTTCAGTGAAGAATCAAACTATACTTCAAGAAGTACGATATGGGCTTGTGGGTGGTTTTGAACAAGTCACCTTGTAAGCTACAGAGAAATAGCTGGAGTGTTATTCGGTGAAAATAATGCTGTAGAGCATTTTAGTGCTGCAAGAATTATTCTTAAAATGACTATTTTTAAGAATACAGTGGAAGGCAAAGGCATGTTTTGGAAGTTCCATCCAAAATACACCCACACACGTGATCTTCAAGGCTGTTTTAGTGATTTCCATTCTACTGGGGGTTTTTTTAACCTAAAAATTCTGGATAGCATTCCTTGAAGCTTCTATGGGTATATGACCCAGTATTTCACCCTATTTCCAGATCCATAGAGTCATTTGGGGGGACAGAGGAGTGATCCAATATAGGCTTACATCAGGCGAGGGCAGGCACACAACAGCCAATCACTCATTTTTCTTTAAGAAAATATTATTGACCATTTTTATTTAAAAATTTGAGAACAATTTGTTTGTCCTCTTGTTGGAAGGTAGGGGGCATAGAGAGATGTAAATGGGTGGATGTGATTATCTGAGACACAAGAGACTGATGTGCCCTGCACAGTAACTGTCCATTATATCTCTAAAGCCTCTGTACCAACAGTTTGTAGATGCATGTAAATAAGTATTTGAGTGTCATCAGAACATGAATAAACTATTCTCAAAATCAGTTTTTCATGTTAAAAATTAAGGCATGCATATTGCAGCTTCTAAAAATCACATTGGAGTGTATTTTCGTCTCTTGTAAAAACCTTCCACCAAAGTTGTCTTGTTTCCTTCATTACTCTTATGTACTGAACTATTAAAAATGGCAGCCAAAACTGGTGTGCATTTATGTTGGCAACAAAATAATTCATTATATTTTCCAGAATTTCTTAAATTTGTCTGCTGCAGAATAGTCCCAGCCCATTATGTTAAAAAAATTATTTTTATTTACAGAAGTTTTGAAAACTGTCAGAATTTGGGGGAATCCAAAAAGCTGCAGCTGCTTGTGCACTGGTGTTTTTTCCAATGGCACCCATCCACTTAGATTATAACTACAGACATAATGAATTGATTAAAATTTGGCTTCACGTAATGAAAAGTTTCAAATTCCTATTTCTGTTTATATAAAGAGGGAAATAAAAATCAGGATTTCTTTTTGCAAAAGAACTCATTTAACCCTAGCATATTTGCCACCTTCCAAGTGTCTGTTGTAATTTATTTTTTGGCTCCAGATTAACATGGAAAACAAGACCTGCAATAAACCAAAGGAAATGCAGGTTGATTCACTTCCGTCTGGTTATTAAGCATGTTTTTTCAGCTAATACAAAGCCCTGCATTTTAATGAAATGGGTGGAAAATGCAGTTACAGCTCTTTGAATATCTTGGGAAACAATCAACAATGTAGACACAGCTCCTTTTCTTGAAAAGTACATGTTCTAGCGCAGTGGTTCTCAACCTGTGTGTCCCCAGGTGTTTTGACCTACAACTCCCAAAATCCCAGGCAATTTACCAGCAGTTAGGATTTCTGGGAGTTGAAGGCCAAAACATCTGGAGACCCAAAGTTTGAGACCCACTGTTCTAGAGCCTTGCTCCAAAAAGGAACATTGGAAACTGGCCAGTAATGTTGTTAGGCTCAGAGGGGGTGTTGTCTGTAAAAACCTCATTGCATCCTTTTTTAGACAAGATAGAAATCTGTCTTGCTACAATACAGTATTCACCATTTCCTTTAAACCCCCTACCCCACCCCTGCTCCGGTTGCATTTATAAGCATGGAAGGGAACAGGTCTAGTACATATGTGGTGTTTGAAGAAATTGTATTGTAATCAATAACAAAGGACAAGCAAGAGCCAAGATTATATCCAATTGAACTGTATTAACCACAGCATCCAAGTCAGAATGGATCTGAACAATTTTATCTTCAATGTGTCATGCAAATCCTTCATAACAGGTAATAGGTAGCCTACCTTCTACTTTTGTGTTGTAGAGACTACTTGAGACAGCACATGCTGGTTGCTCTGCAGTTTTGCAACGGAGCCCCGCTGGAAGTAGATCTATGTCATGGGATGGGAGCTGGCGGGCTCTGTTGCAAAACTGCAGAGGAACCGGTGTTATGGAAATTAATTCCAGAGCCACTCCTGAAAGAGCAGTCTCAACATGGATATTGAAGTCCCCCAGAACGAGAAGACAGAGAGGACTCAAACACCAGTCCAGGAAAGGAGACTGGTGAGCAATGAATGGGCAATACATAAAGAAAATCCATGTTATGTCCCTGCAACCCACTTCAACAAGCCCATGTTTAAATCTAGCAGGCTGTGGAACTGGGCACCCAGTGAGAGCCTAGGGGAGCAGAAAGGTGCAACTGCACCTTTCTGCTCCCCTAGGCTTTGCCTGCTGCTAAACAGAGAACCCAATGCAACAAAGCATTCCCGCCCCAAATGTCATCCAGCCTGTTTTGTTACGCAAACCAGGTTGGCGTTCTTATCCTTGTTCAAGGATGTTTTTTCCATTTACTACCTGGCAACGAGCAGCAGCACTTCCAGTTCAGGGGCATTGCTGCTATGACTATCTACTGTATATACTATTTGAAGTTAGGGACTGTTTGAGGACAACAAAAATGGTCTGGCCTTCCCTTTTCCCATAGTTATAATTTTGTAACATCACTCCCTTTGTTTGTTACATTACTGTGGCAAAGGATCAATTCCCCTTATGCACTCCCATTTCAAATATTTTTTGTTTGTTTTTTTGCTGGCAGGAAAGACAATTATTATTATTTTTTAAATATCTTCTGTGTTCTAATAACTCTCAGGCCCCATCAACCCTTCTATATAATCCAGTTTCTGAATTCAGATTATCTTCTTTGAATTGGATTATGAGTCTACACTGCCATATAATCCAGTTCAAAGCAGATAATCTGGATTCAGATACTGGATTATATGGCAGTGTAGACTGGGCCTCACTCTATATGAAAAGAGCCAGCCTCCCTTTAGTACCATCTCCTTTGCTGTTGACCACATTGGTGGCAAACCCATTCTCTGAAATATCCAGCTTTTATCCACTTGCAGAAAAGAGTCAGGTAGAGTTCACTAACTGGCACAGTACCTGGGCACCTGGTGATGTTAGCAGCGGTCCATGGGAAAAGAAGTGGAAACAGGCAGGCAACAGAGGGGAGGAAAGCCTCTCTTCTCTGACCAAAATTAAGCCAGCTGCTTCATATTTAACATGCTGTCCATCAGAGGGTGGCCCTGGTTCCATTCCAATGTATGCCTTTGATGGTTATTTACTGTACTTGAGCAACTACCAAACGATGTTAAACAGATTTTACATGTCTGAGATTAAAGGTTGATCCATGTTCATCAAGAGGTGAAGAGCCGAATGCTTTGAAGCCTATTTCTCTCAACTCAGCTGCTGTATTTTTGTAGGTGCTCCCAGGAAAGCTGAGCTCAAAAGGGAACATCTGGTTTTCAGTCAAGTTTTGTGTTGTTTCAAGTGATCCCATTTTTTATCCTTAAAGAGTTAATCAAGACTCCATAATAGCAAGAGACTTTTATGAGGTCACACAGCAGTTTAAAGTCTCACTTTAGCTTAGAACCTCTTGACTGACAGTTGCTATTACTGCTAATCCTTGCAGTCTGCTCTAATGCTGGCACAACCTCCCACAGTTAAATTCTCTAAATCTCTACAAGGAAGAGACAAAATGCCCCCAGCAAAGATAGCAGGTCTTGTGAATTGTTCAACAATTATTAAGAAAACGGACTTGTATAAGGAGCTATGAAGAAGTATTCAATCTTGGTCATATTTTAAATATTTTTCCTTGCATTTTTAGCCATCATATCAGCAGTGAAACAGTTACAATAACTTGCATTTGTTGGCCCATGTCATAAGTAGGCCATTATCAATTATAATGCTTGTCAATTTTGAAAATGATGGCACAGAAATAAACCAATGCACAGATTGAGACAGGCTGGACACATGTTTTATAAAGTGAGTGCATTCCCCCTCCCCCCAGTGAAACATAAATGAACATGCACAAAATCAATAACATGTGAATGTTCTCCAAGACTGATAGGCTTCCAACTGGTTTAAAATGTCAGTTCACGCTGCTTTTTCCCTACCTGCAAGGACTGCATAATACTATTTAATATAATATGTGTACAAACAACTAGGGTTTGGGTTCTCAGCAAAACTAATGTTTCAGTGCTAGTCACACTTCTATGAAGAGAGCATTGCATAACTTGGGCTCTTCTGTTGTCAGATAATGTATTGGAAAACAAAAGAAAGCTGATACAGGAAGAGGCACTCATTCAAACATCTGGGTTTCAAACCATTTACAAGTTTAAATTGTGACTTTGGTTCAAAAGTATCTTTCAAATCAACCTCATTGTATGGTGCAAAAAAGTGGTCCAAAGTAAGTGCACTATCACATTCTGCAAAAGCAGAAAGTTGGTTTCAAAAGCAGCTTTATATGCAGTGCCTATCAACTGTGTTATTCAAAGTAGTGACCAATGCCAATTCATGGCCATGTCACATTTTTATAGTTCTCTATTGTTATATTCTTACAGATTTTACCAGCTTGTTGCAATTTATGAGGTCGAATCACTACCTGTTTTAGTTTAGGTTTTTTTATTGGCTCATTTTTTAACTCTTCGTTTTAACTCTTTTGTTTGTTCTGTGTTATTTCTATTTTTGTTATCGTATATGGCATTGAATGTTTGCCATTTTACTTTGGAAGCCACACGGACTCCCTTTGTGGGAGAGAGGGCAGGTTAGAAACCTATTATTATTATTATTATTATTATTATTATTATTATTATTATCTGCCAGTTCAGAGCAAACCTCTAGGAAACTATGCATATATGATAATGTGGCACAAAAATGGCACAGTCCATAGCACACTGGGGGGAAAAAAAGGTTTGCCAGTCAGTCCCATCACATAGCTTGAGAAGCACTGTTTTATAGTAACTCCAGGTGCATCTACATGGCAGAATTAATGCAGTTAGACATCACTTTAACAGCCATGGCTAAATGCTATGCAATCCTGGGAGTGGCTGTTTTTTAAGGTCTTTGCCATCTCTGCCAAAGAATGCTGGTGCCTCATCAAACTACTGCTTTCGTGATTCCATAGCACTGAACCATAGCAGCTGAAGTGTGGTCAAGCTGCACTAATTCTACAACTCGTAGATGCACCAGGGTGTTTTGGGGGGATATATATTTCAGGCCACTCTATGCTAATTTAAATATTAAATAACTTCGGATTTACTGTTGGTTCCTGTTTGATGAGATGGTTCTTCCTACCTGTAAAGTCCTTAATAGCTTAAGCTCAGGATATATCTCTCTCTGTGTGTACACACACACACACCCATTTATGTGTGAATCATATGGAATCCTTCTCTGCCAAAAAGTGCTGGTGTTCATGAGATAAACTTGCTTCTCTTTCACAGGTAGTGCAACTCAGCAGATGGCTCCAGAGTTTTCCAACTCTCAGGAGTAGACCTAGGATCTATAAGGGCCAAATACTAGCCACACTCTTAAATGTTTCTGTCAAGGAGAACAGGCTAACAGATGGCTCTAAATCTGCTTACACTTAATGGTGTTACACACTGCCGGTAATAGACACGCTAATAAATGAGCACAGTAAGCCTCAACAGCCAGTGCATTCAAATCTGCACTGCAAGGAAAATGAGTCAACACATTTTCATTCAAAATATGGCATGCTGACCAAGGCGGGACCAGTGAGATCCTATATGGAAATGCATTTAGTCTCTAGTCCAACTGGTTAGCTGCTTCACATTAAATCAAAACAAACTGTCCATTCACAGTTTTATCAAGTACATCTTTTTTGTAATGGGTGAAAACATGAATAAGGGGAACTCTGTCAGTGGAAGCAGGCATAGGTTTGGACTTTTGAAAATGTATACAGAAGGCTTTGAAGGCAAATGTGTGTGATACAACTGGATGGAGAAATTAAGGACATTATTACCTCTGCCAATTTGAGGTAGAGAAGAGCATTTTCGGTTTTCAGCATAATTATTCTCTCTTCTTTAGCCTGGGAATATATAATTGGGACGTGACTGGTGTTAAAACGGTTATAAAAGAAACAAAAAATTCTGCAGTGACTATCTAACCCTAAAATGCAACTATCAATCAATATTCCATGCCAAACTATACATTATCAACTCCTGCTATTCCACAGGTGTTCAGGTAAGTCACACTGCAGCTCTGCAAGTCATGCTCTTGGAGGCTTTGAGCAATTTTTCAGGAGTTATTCTCATGTTTCAACTCCTCATACATTATTTTAAGGACCTCAGTATATTGGGACACAGGTGACTTAGGCAGTGGTTCTTACTTGCAGATGTAATGGTTCTGAACAGTGCAATATAAACAGATGCATATGAAATTAATCACTGAAAGGTTTTAGCCACACTTGAAACTTACTAGCAAAGCAGGAGATCAGACGCCCTTGGTCCCATCTACACTAACTATATAATGCAGTTTGAAATTGTATTATATGGTCAGTGGAGACCAATGGTTCCCAAACTTTTTTTTTACCAGGGACCATTTCAGAGACAACTTGAACAGGGACCACTTTGACCAGGGACCACTCTCCAACATTAGTACCAAAAGGGTTGGAGCCCCTGGTGGCACAATGGTTAAACCCTTGTGCTGGTAGGACTGGCCGACCGACAGGTTAGCAGTTCGAATCTGGGGAGCAGGGTAAGCTCCCATCTGTCCAGCTCCAGCTCCCCATGCGAGGACATGAGAGAAGCCTCCCACAGGATGGTAAAACATCAATCATCTGGGCATCCCCATGGCAACATCCTTGCAGACGGCCAAATCTCTCACACCAGAAGCGAGTTGCAGTTCCACAAGTCGCTTCTGTCATTTTTTAAAAAAACACCAAAATGGTTACAGATCAGTTTTTGGTCAACTTTAGATTTGGTTTGGTTATTTGGAATGCTGATTCAGAAAATTGAACTGGATAGACCACATCAGCTCTAGTTTCTGATACAGAACATATGCCATCCAGTAGTCACCATCTGTTCACCCTCAGAAAACCATATTTAATAATCTAGAGCTGATGTGGTAGTAGTAATCTTCCGTGGGTAGTTAGCCTCCCAGCATCCTCGTTGCCTTGGCACTGTAAGAGGGTTTTGTGACTCGACCCAATTCACCCAGTGAGTTTCCATGGCTAAGTTGGGGGTGGAGATGGGTTGAAAGAGAGAGGGGGCCGGGGACAGTTCCACCTTGTCTCCTGCATATGTCATCAGTTGGGGACCCCTTCCCCCCAGCACCAACTGCCGCTCTGGGCCAGAGTGAAGAGAGAGGTCGGCCAGGGGACAGTTCCATCTTGCCTCCTGCGTTATGCTAATACTCGATGCTGTGGAATCCTGGGAGCTGTAGTTTCACCAGGTCTTTGGCCTTCTTTGCCAAAGAGGGCAAGTGACTCAACAAACTATAAGTCCCAGGATTCCATAGCATTGGGCCTTGGCAGTTAAAGTGGTGTCAAACTGCATGAATTCTACAGTGTAGCTTAAGCGGCTGAGGAGGGAAAGGAATGGGCCCGAGGCTGTTAGGAATGGTGGGAGTTGAAGTCCAAAACACCTGGAGGGAGGGCCCAAGTTCGCCCATGCCTGGTGCAGACACACTCTTCGCCTGACTACACCATGCTGCCATTGGTCCCCTATTGCCATGATGCTTCCAATCAAAACCCCCCAAAGGCCGAGCTTCTGACAGGCGCCCTCTTTTCCAGAGATGAGCGGGACTCACTCGCAGTTTTTGCTCCAGCTGCCGAATCCGCTGCTCGGCCACGAAGCTCAGGCTAATCCCGCTGCCAGGCCTCATCCTCCTGCCGCTACGCGACACAGGCCACCGCAAAGGTCTCCTCACAAATACTAACACCCGCTGCGGCTCCTGGGTTGTCTTCTGGGGATGCCTTTTGAATCAGCCAGTCGCAAGCAGGGATTTAGCTTCTCCGCGGTTGCTACGGAGACCTCACGTTCGTTCCGGCTAAAAATTGGATTGGGATTGGCGGGATATAGAAAGGGGTGGTGATTGACAGTGAAAGTGGGCGGGAAAAACGAAAGCTCTGTCCAATAGGAGACTCAATAGCCGCCTCGCCCCGCCTTTCATGGTTAGTAGCTCTTCACTATCTCGGTGCGTGGCCAAGGCATTGTCAGTGCTAGTCCGCCAAGGTTTTTCCGGACTTCAACTCCCAGAAGCCTCCGCTGCGGTGGACATTGATCGGGGATTCTGGGAGATGAAGTCCACCAACGAGCTGCCATAATTGAATAATATGGACTCAGAAGAGTTGTACTTTTACCAGCTGATTATTTTTAACTGGTAATAGTGCGGTTCCTCACAGAACTACAACTCCCAGGACTCCATAGCAGTGAGAGTGGTATCAAACCGCATTAATGCTACAGTGTAGGTGCACATTGTCATCACCTGTGTTCTAGCTTCTCTGCTTGCAACTACATTATACTGTCAGTATAGAATAGACTCATATAATGCAGTTAAATCGCATCATTTATTTATTTGCTTTATTTCTATACCGCATTTTTCAGCCTAATTAGGCATCAGTCTACACCAAGCATGGGCAAACTTTGACCCTCCAGGTGTTTTGGACTTCAACTCCCAGAAATCCCAGCAAGCTTGCCAGCTGTTAGGAATTGTGGGAAAACACCTAAAACACCCGGACAGCTGAAGTTTGCAGATCCCTGGCCTACACTAACCATGTAATGCAGTTTCAAATTCTGTTACACCTTCGCAGAAGCATACGAGAAGCTCGGCCTGTCATTGAACACCGAGAAAACCAAAGTGCTCTTCCAGCAGTCACCAGTCAATACCTCTTCAATGCCAGAAATACAACTTAATGGTGTAACATTAGAAAATGTTGATCATTTCCGCTACCTTGGCAGCCACCTCTCCACAAAAGTCAACATTGACACTGAAATACAACACTGCCTGAGCTCTGCGAGTGCAGCATTTTTCCGAATGAAGCAGAGAGTGTTTGAGGACCGGGACATCCGTAGGGAGACCAAGGTGCTTGTTTATAAAGCTATTGTCCTCCCAACCCTGCTCTATGCCTGTGAGACGTGGACTGTCTACAGACGTCACATGCAACTCCTGGAACATTTCCATCAGAGCTGTCTCTGGAAAATCCTACAAATCTCTTGGGAAGACAGGCGGACAAACGTCAGCGTGCTGGAAGAGGCAAAGACCACCAGCATTGAAGCGATGGTCCTCTGCCATCAACTCTGCTGGACTGGCCACGTTGTCTGGATGCCTGATCACCATCTCCCAAAGCAGTTGCTCTACTCGCAACTCAAGAATGGAAAACGGAATGTTGGAGGGCAGGAAAAGAGATTCAAAGATGGGCTCAAAGCCAACCTTAAACACTCTGGCATAGACACTGAGAACTGAGAAGCATGGTCTTTGAGCGCTCCAGCTGGAGTTCAGCGGTGACCAGCAGTGCTGTAGAATTTGAAGAGGCACGAATGGAAGGCGAAAGAGAGAAACATGCCAAGAGGAAGGCGCGTCAAGCCAAAGCCAACCAAGACCGCCTTCCATCTGGAAACCAATGCCCTCACTGCGGGAGAAGGTGCAGATCAAGAATAGGGCTCCACAGTCACCTACAGGCCCACCAGTACACTGATCTTGGAAGACTATCCTATGTGCCTAAGTAATTATGTTTATATTATATTATATATTATACTACCACAATGCACTCTGTGTGTGTATTTTAAATTAAAACTCTCAGGCTCATATTGCCATTATACAGACAACATCTAGAATACTGTGTATAGTTATGGTCAGATCTAAGAAAAAAATATCGTAGAGCCAGGAAAAGGGCAGGAAAAGGGAAATAAAAATATCAATGGATCAAAGGAAAGGCTATATTTAGCTCAACAAAGAGAGGAGTGGAGTGCCACAGGGTTCTGTCCTGGGCCCAGTTCTTCATTAATGACTTAGATGAAGGGCTAGAGTTAGAAGGCATGATCATCAAGTTTGCAGACGACACCAAATTGGAAGGGTTAGCCAATACTCCAGGAAACAGGAGCAGAACTCAAAACGATATTAACAGAATAGAGATGGGCCAAAACTAACAAAATGAAACAAATGCAAGATACCCCACTTAGACAGAAAAAAATGAAATGCAGATACAGAATGGGAGGTGCCTGGCTCGATAGCAATGTGTGAAAAAGATCTTGGAGTCCTTGTGGAAAACAACATGAGCCAACAATGTCATGCAGCTGCTAAAAATCCAATAGGATTTTGGCCTGCATAAATAGTCTAGTGTCTAGATCCAGGGAAGTCATGCTATCCCTCTATTCTGCCATGGTCATACCTCACCAGGAATACTGTGTCCAATTCTGAGCACCGCAATTGAAGGGAGATGTTGACATGGTGGAATGTGTCCAGAGGAGGGTGACTAAAATGATCAAGGATTTGGGGAACAAGCCCTGAGAGGAGCGGCTTAAATTGCTGGGCATGTTTAGCCTGCAGAAGAGAAGGCTGAGAGGAGACATGATGAGGGCCATGTATCAATATGTGAGGGTGAGGTAGTCATAGGAAGGAGGGAGCAAGCTTGTTTTCTGCTGCCTTGGAGACTAGGACACGGAACAATGGTTTCAAACTACAGGAAAGGAGATTCCACCTACAATAGGAAGAACGCCCTCACCGTGAGAGCTGTTCAGTAGCGGAACTCTCTGCCCCTGACTATGGTGGAGGCTCCTTCTTTGAAGGCTTTTAAACAGAGGCTGGATGGCAATTTGTCGAGGGTGCTTCAAATGTGATTTTCCTGCTTCTTGGTAGGGGGTTGGACTGGATGGCCCATAAGGTCTCTTCCAACTTTATAATTCTATGATTCAGCCAAGGTTCTTTGACAGATACCTTTGCCATCTGAAGTTATGTGGCTGTCTGAGAGAGATCTTCAATATGGACATTTCTCCTTACACTGATATACTTGGTATTATTCTGCTGATGTTTTGGCAACAAAATACTTTTAGGCACAGTTTTTATACTTTTGATGTAGTTTTTAAAATCTAACTGCTTTGATATACCTATTTTATTATGGCTATCTGGATTGGTTTGATTCACACACTGATTGTTGTGCGTGTATATGTTCAATGTAAACTACCCTTTTTTGCTGAGTAATAGTTAATAGTCAAATATCTTATAAAAGCACAATGACAGAAAGGACAAAATGGCATATGCTTAAGCACACTGGTTTACAAGCATATACAAGTATACAGAGATAATAGCATAAACGTACCTGGCTACTTCTAGGCGGATGCCCTCGCTGTTCACTAAGCAATCTTCTCAGTTACTCACATACTAATGAATGGATCCCACTCAAACACTTGCAAATCAGGCTTGCTAACTGGACCCTTCACACTTGCTTAATAGACATTCTTTCTCCCACCCTGGAAATTCTCCTTGCTTTACCACCACCAGATCCTCTGAAGATGCCAGCCATAGATACAGGTGAAACCACATAACACTCCAGTGATTCCGGCTGTGAAAGCCTTTGACAATACAACATAACTATATACTTTTCAAAATTGTCAGCATAGTGCAACAAGTGTTAAGAAAATGTCAAATAGGCATGGCTTTTATTTTCATCTGTACCTCATGTGTTCATTTCTGAAATGAGATTCTTACATCAATTTAGAGTTTCCGATTATATCAGATTTCATTTTCCACCTAGGTATTGTGTCCTGAAAGCAATTGTCTGAGAGAAGTTCATATGGGCGCTTCCTTCTGGTCTCCCTAAATTTATGTAAAACCCTTTCTCAGAAAGTCTCCAATATATATTCTCTGACATCTATTTAACTGTCACCTGGCATTACAGTAAACTGCTTTATTGATTCTTAATTGTAATTTGTTGCACTGTTTTTTCTATCCTTACTTTTTGAAATGGCTGTAATATGTGAATCAATATGTAACTTTACAGGAATCCCAAAATATTTTAAAATAAGATACATGTTAAACTTTTAGATATTCAAATGTAACAGAAACTTAAAAACTATTACGAATGAATAAGAAAACTTGGGATTCTTTTCTCCTGATTCATATCTTGAATCAAAGCATGACTGACCAGCCATTAAAGAAGCATTTTCAGACGGTTAGTCACATTTAAATTCCACTGAACTCAAAAGGACAAAGTAATTGTGAATAAGCATCCGGGCACAATTCAAAGTGCTGGCTTTAGCCTATAAAGCCCTAAATGGTTTCTGTCCAACTTACCTATATGAGCATATCTCTCCTTATGAACCATCTAGGATGCTAAGATCTTCTGGGGATCTTAGCTCTCGCTCCCACCTTCCTCACAGATGCGTCTGGCGGGGACAAGAGACAGGGCCTTCTCAGCGGTAGCCCCTCGACTACCGGGGTGATCTTATCTCCCTGCCTAGAGAGATAAGATCACCCCCCTCCCTCCTGACCTTTTGAAGAAAGGTGAAAATCTGTCTCTTCAAGCAGGCCTTCCCAAATACTGCATAGATATTTGATATTATGGACAACTGACAATGCAACTGGACAATGATTGGTTACGGAGACGCTTTGATAATTTTTTAAATGCTGTGTATGGTTTTTATATTTTTATTGCTGTTAGTGTTTTAATAGTATTTATGATTGTTTTAATTGTTGTAACTGTTCTGGCATCGAATTGTTGTCTACTGTTAACCGCTCCGAGTCACCATTGGGCTGAAAGGAGCGGTATATAAGCGTACTAAATGATAAATAAATAAATAACATCCCATTTGTTTTAACAGAACTTTCAATGTAACTCAGTTTATATTTTGTTCATCATTGAGCTAACCTGGATAGAAAGATGGTAAAGATAAGAAATACCACATTAAACATTACAGACAGAATCCTTTCTCTTGTGAGATTGCCATCGGAATTAAAAGTGTGCACGTGTGTAATGTGAACAAATACTCTCTGTACAGACATTA